GTTGTGTTGCATTTACGTTTTGATTCAGAGAAAGAGACTGCCTGTGACGCAGGTTTCATCACTCTCTAAAGGGGTTGTGTGCTAGACCCAGTTGTTGTTTTTGGAGCGTTAAAACCTCTGGCATGGTGAAATATACAACATGCGATGTCAAAGGCATTACAGAACATCCCTGTGAAGGTGACCCAAGGTCATGTGGCTAAGCCGTCCAATCAGAAGTTAGCTAGGCTGAAGGTCGACCAATCAGAAGTGAGCTAGTGTGTATATGGGCGGACGGTGAGGAGACCAATGTAACTATTACCCATCCTTTTATAGCTAATCTGTGATCTGAGTTGTCTGTGATGGTATTTGATGTTGCTACATTCTAACGCGATGTCCAAACCAAGTGATCTGCTATGTCCTGATGAACGTTTCTCCTCTCATGTGCTCTCCATACACATCTAAAATTCACGATAATTTAATACAAATCTGGTCATATATGGATGATCTTTTGCACAAAAATAAAAAACAGTGCTATAATTTATTGTTGTGATCCCTGTTTACTCTCATATATAAATGTGCAAACAGTTCCGTAGTGAGCACGTAAGAAAGCATTATCAAAAATATGAAAGCTAACAGATACATGTGCCCAAACTGTCAGAACAGTTATTTTATCCAAACCAAACATTTTAGTACCCAATAAATAAAAGTAAAAGTATTTCAAGTATTTCTATTTCTCTTTTCTCATTTAGAAATAACTAACCCTGGATAAATGCCATTAAAAAAAAAAAAAAAAAATTGAAATAAGCCAAAAAAAAATTTAACATATGCTATATAACTGTCAGCCCACTCTGATGTGAAACCATCTTGCAGTGGTAGGGGGAGGGGTTTGAGTACCTTAATGACCCCAGGAGCTAAGCCGAGGGTAGCTTAGTTACTGGTAGGGTCTCCCTTGTCAAAAGAAATAAACATCTATGTGCCTTCTCCATAAGGAAGCTGCCCACTGCTGTCTTTGGGAATATTACCTGGTGAGGTCCCAATCTCTTCCACGGTGTGACTCTCATACTAATGTCCTTTTCTAAACCGCCAGACTTGGAAATGACACTCTAGAATGTCAAGGATTATCACTAACCTCAAAGTCACAGAGGTCAAGAACACAAACACAAGGGAGAAAATGGTCGCAACAGAGACCCATCCTTGTGGGTCCTGGAACCCCATTTTGGGAATGGGAAAAAATCAAAAACAAAAGATCCACTGCTCTTCTAAAAGGCATGTCGTAAAAGGTGACTACTTCGGAGCATAATGAAATTTAATGTGTTAGGCAAATGAATGAATGGAATAAAAACTGACACCGCTGCGTTCTGGTTATTTCCACATGTGCTCCGTCTCCTTCCTTAGTAGCCAACAAAGAGTCGACATGCTAATAATAAAAACTAGTCTGATTAAAAGTCCATCTATGTTTCCCCCTCAGTGTTGAATATCTCTTCTACTCACTTTCAATGTACGGATTCTCTGTATGTTCTATTGCAGCATCTGTGTGATCCCCGAGAGCCTTCACCACGTCTACTTCATCATAAACATGCTCACCACCAAGAGCAACAGCAGCAGCCAAAAGACACGTATATTGCTGCCTAGCTGTAAATGACACAATGCGCCAGCCTTCCGCTTAGAGGCCAAGACAGAAAAAGAGTTCCCATTTTGATGGTTTTCATCACTACCTCCCTGTGCTGGAGTGCGTACACCTGGTGCCTTCTTTGGTGATTGTGTTATTGATGGTTTTTATCACTACCTCCCTGTGCTGGAGTGCGTACACCTGGTGCCTTCTTTGGTGATTGTGTTATTGATGGTTTTTATCACTACCTCTCTGTGCTGAAGTGCGTACACCTGGTGCCTTCTTTGTCACTGGTGATTGTGTTATTGATGGTTTTTATCACTACCTCTCTGTGCTGAAGTGCGTACACCTGGTGCCTTCTTTGTCACTGGTGATTGTGTTATTGATGGTTTTTATCACTACCTCCCTGTGCTGGAGTGCGTACACCTGGTGCCTTCTTTGGTGATTGTGTTATTGATGGTTTTTATCACTACCTCTCTGTGCTGAAGTGCGTACACCTGGTGCCTTCTTTGTCACTGGTGATTGTGTTATTGATGGTTTTTATCACTACCTCTCTGTGCTGAAGTGCGTACACTTCGTGCCTTCTTTGGTGATTGTGTTATTGATGGTTTTTATCACTACCTCTCTGTGCTGAAGTGCGTACACCTGGTGCCTTCTTTGGTGATTGTGTTATTGATGGTTTTTATCACTACCTCCCTGTGCTGGAGTGCGTACACCTGGTGCCTTCTTTGGTGATTGTGTTATTGATGGTTTTTATCACTACCTCTCTGTGCTGGAGTGCGTACACCTGGTGCCTTCTTTGTCACTGGTGATTGTGTTATTGATGGTTTTTATCACTACCTCTCTGTGCTGAAGTGCGTACACCTGGTGCCTTCTTTGTCACTGGTGATTGTGTTATTTATGGTTTTCATCACTACCTCCCCGTGCTTGAGTGGAATGGATATGCTGTCCACCTGGTGCCCTTTTGTCACCCGTCATTACTGAGTTCAGCACTGACATTCTAGCATTACCAGCATTCCTAAAAGTTTTCCATACTCGCCTTCAGCATCCAGTGCACAACTATTCTACACTTCTTCTGCAGAACTGCGTTCTTGTCCAGCTGACCAGTTTGACATATATTTTGTTTATTTAAAAAAAATTCTCTTCAGACTATTATTTTTAGGGCATTGTATGATGGGGGAAGTGAAGGATATTTTATACAATCTTTCTTTGTCAGTTGAGACGAGAGAGAGAATTCTCAAGAACTCAATAAATCCTGTCCTGATACAAAGAAATGAATCATGGACAGTTGGATGATTAGTGAAAAATTATCTGGAAGCTGCGGAGATGTGATTTTATTGGCGAATGAGAATACCCTGGGGAGATAATAAGAGTAACGAAGATGTCTTAAAGAAACGTAACTCACGAAGAGAACTGTTTGCTCACATCAGGAGGAGACAAATCTATACTGGCTGGTAATGTCATGAGAAGGAGAAAACCAGAGTACATTATGACTGTGGGAAAGTTGGAGGGGAAAACACAAAGTACATTATGACTGTGGGAAAGTTGGAGGGGAAAACACCAGAGTACATTATGACTGTGGGAAAGTTGAAGAGGAAAACACCAGAGTACATTATAACTGTGGGAAAGTTGGAGGGAAAAACAAGCAGACCGAGAGAGAAGACGCCGGACATTCTGTCTTACCCCGCTGTTAGCTAAACCTGACTTTGGGGCGAATGGGTGATGAACTCCTTGTGGTCCGAGTTCACGCCCGGAGTTAGGCAGAAAAGCCACATTTCTCCCAGATTTATGGTATCTATCATGGAATCAAGGCCGAAGGGTTGTGATATCCATAATACCGAGCCTAAGGGTTAAGAATGCATGGCTTCTGGATACTTTTAAAAAAAAAACGCTCAATGCTGGCTTTCCAAATTTCCCCACATGAAAAATGATGCTAACAGTCCACTTTCAAGGCAAGATTCAAGGCCTGGCTTGAAACACAAAAATACACCCGCGTATGTATAGTCAGTGATTCAATTAGTATGATCCGGAGGGTTCAGGCAGGTTCAGTGCGAAGACAATGGCTTGAATCATTACAAAAGTCCACTGTGCATGGAGTCATCTTTATTTTTGATCCGGGACACGCAGGCGTCGATGGAAATGAAAGAGCTGACAGGTTGGCTGGATCCGCTATCACTACCGACGGTCAGCCTATATATCATGCTGATATTATCAATGCCCTCAGAGAAATGGGAAGGATAGAGGACTTCGGTGGCAGTGAATCCACATCACTCGCCAGAATGGCAGACTTGGGAATTAAGATCGGCACAGCAAAAAACGAGACGCACACCAGACGACTTGTTAATCAACATAGAACTGGTACTATTAGCCATCGGACATTGGGGTTCATACTGAGGGGAGGATCTGAGCACCTATGGACATGTCCGGAGTGCAATGAGGATAACCCAACTAACTAACTAACTAACTAACTTTCAAGGCAAGATTCAGTGATCACATTTTGTCTACAGGAAGGACACCACAGATAAATAAAACTATGGTTACACAAATGTCTGTTACTGGGTAAAGCCAACAGTGTTTATTCTCTTAATCAGACTAATGTTACACACATTTTACTGGATAAAGCCAACAAGATTTTATTCTCTTAATCAGACCAATGTTACACAAATGTCTGTTACTGGACAAAACCAAGTTTTTATTCTCTTAATCAACCTAAAGTTACACACAATTTTACTTGGCAAAGCCAACAGTCTTTATTCTCTCAAACTAATGTTACACAAATGTAACCGGACGAAACCAAAAGCCTTTATTCTGTTGATTACATTATAAAGATGGAGTGCAATGCCGGCTTTCCTACAGAGACTGAGCCACTAGGGATAAAGCCAGCTGCAATGAAGTGAATCCTCTTGACTTCAACTTTATGAAACTTGACAAAGCCAGTGCAATTTATTCTCTGATACTGCTTCTTCTGTCTTCTATCCCCCAATGGAGCATAGGCCCCCCAACTAACTCACACCAAGTTCTATTTTTCGCTATCGCATGCAGCTCATCCCATGCCCTCCCAATCTTTTAACTTCCCTCTCTAGCTCCCTTATGCATGTTTTTTTTAATACCCTCAATTAAACTAATGGTAAATAAATGTAAAAAAAAATGCATAAGACAGCACAATTTTTTCCATGTAGCACAAGTAATATAGTGAGCCTGTGTACCTAGCATGATCACACATCAGCTTTGTTAAACTAACGAAACAGAAGAGAAGCACAGTGACAATCCTGTAATTCTCTAATTAACAGTGTAACAAACTGGTTAACCAAAAAAAGGAGAAAACAAAATTTGTTATTAATCTTGCACAAGAAAACAATTTACACTATAAATACAAGAGAATCTTGCTGAACATTTCATATTTCTCATCCACTCAGTGGATTCTGGTTAACTCTTCAACAATCTTCACCAAGTCATCCACAGTTGCGTCCCGTTTCATGTCTCCGTCGTCAAGCTGAAAGGATAAAAGAATCATGTTTACACGGTTGATAAATATGTTTTTTTTAAACAATAATAAAATGTATTAAAGTATGTTTTAAATTGATAGAAAAGATATTAATAACATTCATTTGACAAGAGCATTAACATAAAATCATCAATGGAAAGTGACTAGTGCAACAAATGAAAGACACTAAGGGGATTGGCTTTCCGTTTACTGCAGTTATTCTATACAACATTCATGGAGTTGAGGACATCATTTGTGCTAACCGCCATGTAACACTAGATGAATTAACGGTCTGAAAACTGCCTTTACCAATGCATAATATGCAGTACAGTTCATGCAGCATGCCTGAGGATCAGCATGAATGATGTCGTCAACTCATTAAATGTTGTGTGGAACTGCAGTAGACGGACAGTCAGTCCACTTTGCATCAGCCACTGAGGATTACCTACTTCAGCTTCATCACAACGGGGGAGGGGGGGGGGGGGGGGGGGGGGGGGGGGGGGGGGGGGGGGGGGGGGGGGGGGGGGGGGGGGGGGGGCTTATTTATTCCTAATAAAATTTTAATTTTGGCATAAGCTGCCATTCTTATTTAATTAACCAATGCAAGCTATCACATTAATTTTTCTCTTTACCTGCAAACCCTGAACCACTTCTTGCATCTTGTCACGGTTCAGATCCAAGAAACTTTCGATCAAATCACCGTCGATAAATCCCATGGCTGCATCACGTTTCTGTTCAGTGTAGTAGGACCTCCAGCTGACAAGATATGGTCAAGGAAATCTTCTGCAAACAAGAGATCACAGAAAACAGACGACAAAAACAAGTCACGAACAACAGCAAAGGGCAACAGAAAACAGAAGGTGGAGGAATGTTCAACCTATATGGAAAGAAGACAGAAAAACTGGTCGCAGAAAACAGTATCTGAAACATTTCATTCAAAACAAGACTAGACACTGAAAACAGCAACCTGCTGCTGCTGCAAAGGACATGGGACCATGTTGCTGAAACTCTCCTTCCCCACTCTGAGCTCAGAAACCAGCAAGTGATATTGACACTTCACATCTGGAAAGAGCATATAATGTTCACATCTGTGGAGAGCACAAAATGACATAGACAGGTCACAGTTCGACACAGCACAGAAAGACAGAGAATGCCTCGGCTGGTGATGTTTCTTCCACAGGTTTTTTTTTTTCCATTGTCAATAAACATCAACCCAATGAACAAGTTATATGGCTAAACAAACATGCACAGAAAATGCTTCAAGGATACAAGCTATGCTCAATCTTGCCCACACTCTTGATTACTTTGCTCAATCTGTTCTGTACATCCACTAAAAAGTTGAAAAATTCCTGAGGGAGCTGTGCTATCAAACCTGTAATAAATAACACAGCACAATCAGTATTTTAACACACAAAACTACAACCGGCATGCTAAGGTATGTCTTTAAGAAATGACACCGGAGTTGCATCTTTTTTGTATTAGCAACTTCTTTTCTTCTTCTTCCCTTAATCCCATAGTGGAAGTCAGGCCCTAACTTGTCCTATTCTCTCTTATCCCACGCAGCGGAGGACAGGCCCTAACTTGTCCTATCTTCTGTTATCCCACACAGCGGAGGACAGGCCCTGACTTGTCCTATCCTCTGTTATCCCACACAGTGAAGGACAGGCCCTAACTTGTCCTATCCTCTGTTATCCCACGCAGCAGAGGACAGGCCCTAACTTGTCCTATCCTGTTATCCCACGCAACGGAGGACAGGCCCTAAATTGTCCTATCTTCTGTTATCCCACGCAGCAGAGGACAGGCCCTAACTTGTCCTATCCTCTGTTATCCCACGCAGCTGAGGACAGGCCCTAACTTGTCCTATCCTCTGTTATCCCACGCAGCGGAGGACAGGCCCTGACTTGTCCTATCCTCTGTTATCCCACGCAGCGGAGAACAGGCCCTAGCTTGTCCTATCCTCTGTTATCCCACGCAGCGAAGGACAGGCCCTAACTTGTCCTATCCTCTCTTATCCCACGCAGCTGAGGACAGTCCCTAACTTGTCCTATCCTCTGTTATCCCACGCAGCGGAGGACAGGCCCTTACTTGTCCTATCCTGTTATCCCACGCAGCAGAGGACAGGCCCTGACTTGCCCTATCCTCCGTTATCCCACGCAGCAGAGGACAGGCCCTTACTTGTCCTATCCTCTCTTATCCCACGCAGAGGAGGACAGGCCCTAACTTGTCCTATCCTCTGTTATCCCACGCAGCGGAGGACAGGCCCTGACTTGTCCTATCCTCTCTTATCCCACGCAGCGGAGGACAGGCCCTGACTTGTCCTATCCTCTGTTATCCCACGCAGTAGAGGACAGGCCCTAACTTGTCCTATCTTCTGTTATCCCACGCAGCAGAGGACAGGCCCTAACTTGCCCTATCCTCTGTTATCCCACGCGCAGCAGAGGACAGGCCCTGACGTCCTATCCTCTGTTATCCCACGCAGCGGAGGACAGGCCCTAACTTGTCCTATCCTCTGTTACCCCATGCAGCGAAGGACAGGCCCTAACTTGTCCTATCCTCTAATATCCAACGCAGCAGAGGACAGGCCCTTACTTGTCCTATCCTGTTATCCCATGCAGCAAAGGACAGGCCCTGACTTGTCCTATCCTCCGTTATCCCACGCAGCGGAGGACAGGCCCTAACTTGTCCTATTCTCTGTTATCCCATGCAGCGGAGGACAGGCCCTAACTTGTCCTATCCTCTGTTATCCCACGCAGCAGAGGACAGGCCCTAACTTGTCCTATCCTCTGTTATCCCATGCAGCGGAGGACAGGCCCTAACTTGTCCTATCTTCTGTTATCCCACGCAGCAGAGGACAGGCCCTAACTTGCCCTATCCTCTGTTATCCCACGCGCAGCAGAGGACAGGCCCTGACGTCCTATCCTCTGTTATCCCACGCAGCGGAGGACAGGCCCTAACTTGTCCTATCCTCTGTTACCCCATGCAGCGAAGGACAGGCCCTAACTTGTCCTATCCTCTAATATCCAACGCAGCAGAGGACAGGCCCTTCTTGTCCTATCCTGTTATCCCATGCAGCAAAGGACAGGCCCTGACTTGCCCTATCCTCCGTTATCCCACGCAGCGGAGGACAGGCCCTTACTTGTCCTATCCTCTCTTATCCCACGCAGCGGAGGACAGGCCCTAACTTGTCCTATCCTCTGTTATCCCACGCAGCGGAGGACAAGCCCTAACTTGTCCTATCCTCTGTTATCCCACGCAGCTGAGGACAGGCCCTAACTTGTCCTATCCTCTCTTATCCCACGCAGCGGAGGACAGGCACTGACTTGTCCTGTCCTCTGTTATCCCACGCAGCAGAGGACAGGCCCTAACTTGTCCTATTCTCTGTTATCCCATACAGCGGAGGACAGGCCCTAACTTGTCCTATCCTCTGTTATCCCACGCAGCAGAGGACAGGCCCTAACTTGTCCTATCCTCTGTTATCCCATGCAGCGGAGGACAGGCCCTAACTTGTCCTATCTTCTGTTACCCCACGCAGCGAAGGACAGGCCCTAACTTGTCCTATCCTCTAATATCCAACGCAGCAGAGGACAGGCCCTTACTTGTCCTATCCTGTTATCCCATGCAGCAAAGGACAGGCCCTGACTTGCCCTATCCTCCGTTATCCCAGGCAGCGGACAGGCCCTTACTTGTCCTATCCTCTCTTATCCCACGCAGCGGAGGACAGGCCCTAACTTGTCCTATCCTCTGTTATCCCACGCAGCGGAGGACAGGCCCTAACTTGTCCTATCATCTGTTATCCCACGCAGCTGAGGACAGGCCCTAACTTGTCCTATCCTCTCATATCCCACGCAGCGGAGGACACGCACTGACTTGTCCTGTCCTCTGTTATCCCACGCGGCAGAGGACAGGCCCTAACTTGTCCTATTCTCTGTTATCCCATGCAGCGGAGGACAGGCCCTAACTTGTCCTATCCTCTGTTATCCCACGCAGCAGAGGACAGGCCCTAACTTGTCCTATCCTCTGTTATCCCATGCAGCGGAGGACAGGCCCTAACTTGTCCTATCTTCTGTTATCCCACGCAGCAGAGGACAGGCCCTAACTTGCCCTATCCTCTGTTATCCCACGCGCAGCAGAGGACAGGCCTAACTTGTACTATCCTCTGTTATCCCACGCAGCGGAGGACAGGCCCTGACGTCCTATCCTCTGTTATCCCACGCAGCGGAGGACAGGCCCTAACTTGTCCTATCCTCTGTTACCCCACGCAGCGAAGGACAGGCCCTAACTTGTCCTATCCTCTAATATCCCACGCAGCAGAGGACAGGCCCTTACTTGTCCTATCCTGTTATCCCACGCAGCAAAGGACAGGCCCTGACTTGCCCTATCCTCCGTTATCCCACGCAGCGGAGGACAGGCCCTTACTTGTCCTATCCTCTCTTATCCCACGCAGCGGAGGACAGGCCCTAACTTGTCCTATCCTCTGTTATCCCACGCAGCGGAGGACAGGCCCTAACTTGTCCTATCCTCTGTTATCCCACGCAGCTGAGGACAGGCCCTAACTTGTCCTATCCTCTCTTATCCCACGCAGCGGAGGACAGGCACTGACTTGTCCTGTCCTCTGTTATCCCACGCGGCAGAGGACAGGCCCTGACTTGTCCTATCCTCTGTTATCCCACGCAGCGGAGGACAGGCCCTAACGTCCTATCCTCTGTTATCCCATGCAGAGGAGGACAGGCCCTAACTTGTCCTATCCTCTGTTATCCCACGCAGCTGAGGACAGGCCCTGACTTGTCCTATCCTCTCTTATCCCACGCAGCAAAGGACAGGCCCTGACTTGTCCTATCCTCTCTTATCCCACGCAGTGGAGGACAGGCCCTGACTTGTCCTATCCTCTGTTATCCCACGCAGCGGAGGACAGGCCCTAACTTGTCCTATCCTCTGTTATCCCATGCAGCAGAGGACAGGCCCTAAATTTTCCTATCCTCTGTTATCCCATGCAGCAGAGGACAGGCCTTTACTCGTCCTATCCTTTACTAACTAAGCAGCGAAGAACAGGTCCCAATGCATTATATCCTTTAACATCACAAGCAGCGGAAGACAGGCCCTAACTCTGCCTATCCTTTGCTATCACAAGCAGCCCACCCCTACCTTCTTCCCATTTTTTTCCCTTCACTCTTAAGATCCCTTTTCCATGTTTTTTATTTTATTTCAAATCACCTTCTATACCCCAGTGGATTCCAGTGTAAAGACATTCTAGTTATGTTTTCAGGTTTTCTCAGAATGTTTCTTATTCAAGGCCAGTGCATTTTTTTAAAGCAGCTTCTAATACATTATGGTCCCATTGAAAATTCTTTTGGGAAACCAAATAGAGCATAAGCCAGCTCACTAGAAAGTCCCTTCGCAGAACTACATAAAATACCAGAAGTCAATAAAGATCTTAAAAAAAAAAGGGGAGAGGATATTAACAGATAAAAGTTAGTTGCCTGTCCTTTACAGGACGCTGCAGAACCAGCCCTGGCAATTTTTAGCTGTTGTGGTTTTTCTAGGCAAATTTACTTTCAGTAGTTTCTCACTGCTTTCTAAACGGTCAGCTCTCTGTACTGTTGTCGAAACCAAAGACTTCTAGTAATTCCCCCTGGTCTCTGGGTAGTGGGATCAGACGCTAGTGTGCATTGCTGCGCATGTAAAAAAAATCCCTTGGCAGTTGGAAATTGAAGAGTAGCCTAACCACGCTGCCTGGGCAAAATCTACCCAAAGTATTTTAGGATTCTCGCCGGTGCTACGGAGCCTGTGCATTGTGCTGAGCTTCTTCAGTCTCAGACTTGAGTTAGAAGAAGAACAGAGCACTTATGGGTTACAAACCGTGGGCCAAGATGTTGATCCGTTGTTTAAAACCACAATCCTATTAGAACATGTATTCACTTTAACAGAACAGCACACACATTTAGCAGCTATCAACCAAGTGTGCGGCTCTGTGTGACCATAATGTTAGTGAAATAGTTTCAAAATGCGCTCCCCTACGTTTACTAGGATTTGATTTCTGCAGTGGGTGTTTAATTCATTAAAAAAAACAATATCATGGCTTTCAGACAGCGGTGAGAAAGTCGCACAGTGGGAGATAGTGGGGCCTCACTCCCCTGCGGAGACAAAAAAAATTTTTAAATAGAGCATATTCAGCTGCAAAAACGTGTACAAACTTACCGACAGCACCACTAACTGTACCAAAGAGAACAGAACCCTGTATTGGTGTTGTGTTTTCTCCTGCATGATGCATGACCAGTGACCCTGGAGAAGATAAAATGAACAATCAAGCTCATGCTTAATAATTATAAACACCTCATACAAACGGATGCAATTAAAACTAAACAGCTGGCACTTTTATTTATTTATCCAAAAGTTGAAACAAGCACAAAATACAAAAATCATGAACTGTTTTTGTGTGTAGTAAATCAATGGCATAGGTGGAAGTGTGTTCCTACATAAAAGAAAAAGGCAAAGCAGTATCTAACTGTCAAAAACTGTCACTACTGTCTGTTTTACCACCGTTTTAGGACGGTGTAGACAGGGGGCCATGAACTTGAGGACTTACAGCCGCAAGGCTAGTGCTGTTGCCACAGACTGTGCAGGTTAGGATGTTTAATTTTGCCCCTGACAGTAAAAACTCCATCACTTTATGGGAGGTCAAAACCGGGTCTCATAAATGAGAACCCGACGCTGGAACCATTCGGCCAGCCGCTCTCTGAGGCTTACTGTGTCTGAATTTTACAGTGTTGTACTAGGGCATTATGAAAAACAAAATGGAAAAAAAAAACAGAGATAATCATAATACAGTCTCTTCTTCGCACTCATCGACTGTAAACTCCAGCGAATAAGTTCTGGTCTGCCATCTAGATTGAGATTTTTATCATCTCAGGAAGATATGGTAAATCTTTAGCTAGTAAGCCAGAGAGGACAGACTGACTGATAGATCGATAGTAACTGAAACCTGGAATGTACCATATAAGTGGCAACTAAAGAGGGCTGCAAAGAGGCAATTAAAGAGGGCTGACAAAGAGGAAACTAAAGAGGGCTGACAAAGAGGCAATTAAAGAGGGCTGACAAAGAAGCAACTAAAGAGGGCTGACAAAAAAGCAATTAGAGGGCTGACAAAAAAGCAATTAGAGGGCTGACAAAAAAGCAATTAGAGGACTGCAAAGAGGCAGTTAAAGAGGGCTGACAAAAAGGTAACTAAAGAGGGCTGACAAAAAGGTAACTAAAGAGGGCTGACAAAAAGGTAACTAAAGAGGGCTGACAAAAAGGTAACTAAAGAGGGCTGACAAAAAGGTAACTAAAGAGGGCTGACAAAAAGGTAACTAAAGAGGGCTGACAAAAAGGTAACTAAAGAGGGCTGACTAAAAGGTAACTAAAGAGGGCTGACAAAAAGGTAACTAAAGAGGGCTGACAAAAAGGTAACTAAAGAGGGCTGACAAAAAGGTAACTAAAGAGGGCTGACAAAAAGGTAACTAAAGAGGGCTGACAAAAAGGTAACTAAAGAGGGCTGACAAAAAGGTAACTAAAGAGGGCTGACAAAAAGGTAACTAAAGAGGGCTGACAAAGTGGCAACTAAAGAGGGCTGATAAAGAGGCAACTATAGAGGGCTGACAAAGAGGCAACTATAGAGGGCTGAAAGGCAACTAAAGAGGGCTGTCAAAAAGGTAACTAAAGAGTGCTGACAAAGAGGCAACTAAAGAGGGCTGACAAAGAGGCAACTACAGAGGGCTGACAAAGAGGCAATTAAAGAGGGCTGACAAAGAGGCAACTAAAGAGGGCTGACAAAGAGGCAACTAAAGAGGGCTGACAAAGAGGCAACTAGAGACCTGCAAAGAGGCAACTAAAGAGGGCTGATAAAGAGGCAACTATAGAGGGCTGACAAAGAGGCAACTATAGAGGGCTGACAAAGAGGCAACTAAAGAGGGCTGACAAAAAGGTAACTAAAGAGGGCTGACAAAGAGGCAACTAAAGAGGGCTGACAAAGAGGCAACTACATAGGGCTGACAAAGAGGCAACTATAGAGAGCTGACAAAGAGGCAACTAAAGAGGGCTGACAAAAAGGTAACTAAAGAGGGCTGACAAAGAGGCAACTAAAGAGGGCTGACAAAGAGGCAACTATAGAGGGCTGACAAAGAGGCAACTAGAGACCTGCAAAGAGGCAACTACAGAGGGCAACTACATTCATGTTCCTACCTAGAAGCCTAATAAATGCAAGATGAGTCGATTTTATGTCTCACTTTACCACCACATGGCCCTGCGCTGCTAAACCGCCTGGGACTGAAAGAGTTAGGCATTTAAAGAGGGTTGACAAAGGAGCAGCTGAAGATGGTTGACATAGAGCTAAATACAGAGGGTTGACATGAGGCAGGATTACTTCATCCCTTACAAAACTTTAGCTGCAAAATTCAACCAATCACGTATAAAGATCCCCGACTTCTTAGTACATGAGAGACAGAAAAAAGAAAATAATACTTAAACTTGTCAACTTCCATACCATGTCTGAAGACATTGACCATCTCTCCCAGGTGAAACAGGCCAACCTCTTGCATCTGTGACCTCTCTTCATCTGTTGTGGCCGCACTTTGAAAAACAAAACCAAAATAAACAATGGTCAAGCAAATATTTTGAAACATACACCTTAAACATGGAATGACACCACCATACAATTTCATTAAACTAGTACAGAGAAAGCGTATTTATTTCGTTTTATTGCACTTAAAAGTAACTTAACATTTATATGAAACTGTTTTGAATTAATAGCATTAGCTGTTGTCTCGCAAGACTTCACAACTTTGAGCTAAAAAAAAAAATTTATTTGAGAAAAAAATATTTTTTACAGCTTTTTTCTTTTTTGAACAATACAAATTCTTAAACACCTCGTGAAGGTTCTGGGGCCCCATTATGGGAAAAACAAGAATATACCTAATGCTTTCCAAAAAGCATGTCCTAAGAGAACAAATGAAACATAACAATGGTACCCAAGAAATGAACAAATCAAACATAACAATGGTACTCAATAAACAGATGAATGCTACTGAGCTAAAACTAACTGGAAGCTTCCTTTGAAGCTGAACTGCATCTGCCTGAGAAGCGAGGAACCAGCAGTCTGCATACAAATAAGCCAGTTATGTTAAACAGATGTGCATGCTGCACTCAGGCTCTGGAACAAGACCAAAGTACAGAGATGGAGGAATAATGGAACTTTCCGCCAGAGTGTACAGCAATTATTCTGTGTTCTTCTGTTTTTAATGCCTTATTTCTTCTTTGCATTCACAGGCTGCGAACTTAACCAATACCAAAGAAACTCTATAATCAAACTGCACAAAATCAGGCCAAAGTGCAAATATTGAAACTAATCAATACAGTAGTCACAAAAACATTATTACCTGTCTTTCTGACACACAAACAGATTGTGGAAATTATCGCATCCCAAAAAGTTGTCGTCGTCTAAAATTTCGATGGCTGTCATCCATTTCACATTCCCATCCCTGGCGATTTCTTCGAAGGCGTCTTGCAAAGGCTTGTACCCCAGCAATGCAATAGACTTCATCAAATCGGCAACAAGGACAAAATCCCCCTTACACTTCAGATAGAGTGCTAGAATGTTGTTGAAATGGCTACACTCCAATCTCAACTCCTTGTCAGCAGTCCATTCGAAAAGACGAACCTAGATTATTGAAAATTTAAAAAATACATGTTAAACTGATGATGTCCCAGCCTAAAATTAGTACCAGGTAAGGTACTTGGAAGTAAAGGCAATCAATGTATATAAAAATAGGATCATATCGAATCACCATATACCTACTGCACCACGGGTATGTAAAGGGCCCTTTATTTACTTACTTAGGCTAGGTACATGGTGTTATGTCCATTACTTCAATGGCCAAATAGCATGGGTATAATGGGTATATGGAGTTCTGGTCACTTTTTCAATAGCTAAACAGTGTGGCCATACTGAGTATATGGAGTTCTGGTCACTTTTTCAATAGCTAAACAGTGTGGCCATACTGAGTATATGGAGTTCTGGTCACTTTTTCAATAGCTAAACAGTTTGGCCATAGAGTTTATGGAGTTCTGGTCACTTTTTCAATAGCCAAACGGCGTGGCCAAACTGAGTATATTTCATTCTGATAAATTTTTTTTTCTATGGCCAAACAGCACAGCCATACTAGGTATACAGTATTAAGTTCAGTTACCAATCATGCATAATATATACAATGCCGCGTTGACCATTTATAAATTCCCCAGATTTCTGGTGCTAATATTAAGGTAATCTGAAATAATGAGAAACAATATAAACAATTTAACAGATCATTGACAAATTATTAGGAAAATAAGAGATATAAAAATATATGTACAAATATAAACACATAATTGGTTGGCTAGTTATTAAATTCACAGAAGGGGTAAAATGTCTGAGAAGTTTAATGCTCCACCAGTGGCATGTGTCTTTACTGTCCAGCCAGACTGCAGTATGCACCGTGTTACCCCACTCGAAGGTGTATGGTCTTGATCAAGCTTGGTTCGTGAACCCTGATGCAAACATTCCTCAAGTTAAGATTTCGTAGTCCTGCCAGCTGCCAGTTGCACACAGAAGATTCCAGTCCTACAATAAAGACCCCACACTTCTACAGTAAAGATTCCTTGGTCCTACAATAAAGACCCCACACTTCTACAGTAAAGATTCCTTGGTCCTACAATAAAGACCCCACACTTCTACAGTAAAGATTCCTTGGTCCTACAGTAAAGATTGATTCATCAACAGAGACCATGCATGATCAGTCAATTTATGCTGGGGAGCTACTGAAGAGGAGATTGCAGCACCAATGAATCTGTCCTGACAGTAAAACTGTAATCTTACAATAAAGATTCCATAGCCCCACACAAAAGATGGGAGCTACCGTGGTCTGGCGGCTAGACGAATGGGAAGGTCCGGGGTTCGGGTCCTGACAGTACCGGACTTTTTTTTTATTTTTTTTTTTATAACCTTGGCATCCAGGTCAACCCAGCCTTGAATGGGTACCAGCAGTCCTGGGAAGTAAAAGCGGTCAGCGTGATGCTGACCCCATTATTCACCAAGTGCTGATCTATAAAATATAGGTCTAGCCCAACATGCCTGAAGGCATGGAAAGGGTCCTTTACTTTACCTAAACAGAAAATGCTACAGCCTATAAAGAAGCCTAAACAGCCCCTAGAGAAGATTCTACAAATAAATAATACCACAGACCTACAACAGAACTTCAATATACTTACAGTAACAATTCCACAGATTTACAATACAAAATACACTACCCCATAGAAAAGATTTCATAGTACTAAAAAAAAACACATTCCAAAACCGTGGGGTAATGCCTCTAATTGAAACTTAAAACAACAACGGAATCTTACAGTGCTGTTAACACTTGCGAGAAGCTTCCCATTGAACGACACCATACTGTAGGCTGCTCCTTTAATTTCCTTTTCAGCAATCATAGCCAGCTTTCCTGTGAGACAAGAATACATTAACATTACCAATATCTCAAGGGATCAAATCAGACAACAAGCCATGAATATGAACAAGCCACACTTCTGAATATACCAAAATGTTGAATGTTGAATGAAGAATCGACATCCCAGCACTCAGGACACTCCTATTAAGTGCTCCGTCCCCATCCTCAGCAGCAAGCGAACAGTTCCAATTCCGATGGCACCAGCAGCGGTCTGATTGTATATCTGTCTCATCCTTCTCCTGAGTGTTGAGCGTCGGCCAGATTCCCTGGTAATTCCGTGCAGCGCCATTCTCCTCAGACCGTAATGATCTATCAGCGCAACCGCACTGTTCACTCGCTCCCAAAGAGCCCTCACAACATCTAGCTTGTCATACATCAGTTCACCACCAAGTGGTGCAGAACCAGCCAGTCAAAATGACAACAGTGAGGGAACAAGCATAGCTCCCAGTGTGGGTTATGGGGTCCCACTGTGGGGGAAAACAAGAACAGACCCACTGCCTCCCCAACAAGCATAGCTCCCAGTGTGGGTTATGGGGGTCCCACTGTGGGGGGAAAACAAGAACAGACTCACTGCCTCCCCAACAAGCATGTTGTAGGAGTCTACTAATTGGGGGCTACCTTCCAAGTCGGAGTGCATCCGATTGAGAGGCAAGGAACCAACAGTCTGCATACAAAAATAAGCACAATTTGTAAAACGGATGCACACGCAAAACTCAGGTCCGGGAACAAAGCCAGAATCCAGAAATGGACGAACAACCAGGTTTTTCCGCCGGGGTTAACAGCCGGTGAACACAAACTGCAATAACAATAAGCATAGCTAGAATTCTGAAATGTGCTAAAATTAATTTTAAAAATATCTGGGGAAGAGGGGAGGGGGGAATACATAGAATATAAGTGTACATGATTAACTACAACAACAACAAGGCTACCTTCATTATAATGAAACACAATGATCCTTCCTGACTTTGGCTCTGCTTCATCTGGGCTGATTAAGGCGGTACCAACAATGTAGTATGGAGTTGGGTCTTCCCCAAGGGTGGTGGAAATAAGGCTGGTGGCACATTCGTTTGGCAAGAGGGTGTGCGCATGCAGAACTGAAACAAGTTTTAAAAACCATTTAAAAGTCTTTTTTATGTCAATGGTAAAAAATAAACACATGGCTAAGGTATAGATTTTTCTTCATCTGTCTTATATTGGTATAGATTCTTCTTCTTTGTTTGTCTTATATTGGTATAGATTCCTCTTCTTTGTTTGTCTTATATTGGTATAGTTTCTTCTTTTTTTGTCTTATATTGGTAGTGATTCTTCTTTGTATGTCTTATATTACTTTGGTTAGGATGTAACTGCTTGTGTCTGTTTACACCACAGCTGTGATAACTACACCTAGTGAAGAAACAGAATGAGTTCAAGAGCTAGAGGAAGCCCACAAAAGAGACGGAGCAATGGTGTCAAGAACAACTTTACAGAAAAGACCAATTACAACACCTCACTTATGTAAAAGGAGGAAAAAAGAAGAACAGACAGGTACAGGTTTGTAATTTTTTTTTTTTTAATGAAAAAAACATACACAAAACAAAAATGTCAAATCAGTCAATCAGGTGCCATCTCCACAATGAAGATTGGCTGCAACAGATCTCCAGCACTCTCTGTCTCTTGTCTGGGTCCACCCTATCTCAGACTGCTGTTAGTTCATCTCTTGATGTAATCCTCCTAAGTGTATCATTGAAAACTTTTTGCTCTCTTGCTCTTTCCCTCCAGTATGGGGTTTTTTGTTTTTTTTTTAAAGTATTACATCTTTAAATTTAGCCAAAATATTTCAACTGCCGGATTTTTTTTTTTTTTCAGTAGTTCTCTTTTTATCCGTGGTCTCTCGGAGAAAAACTCTATTTGATTGTCTTTGTTTCCAGGAAATACAACCTATTCTTTTGTGTATCCAAATTTCCAGAGATTAAATTTGATTTACAAGTTGCCTGTTCATTGTCCAAGTTTCTGCACCAGACAGTAGGGTTGGGTGTACACTTGACGATTCTCATTTTATTTTTTAATTGTTGTTCATCTAGCTGTCAATAATTTTTTAATCTATTGTCTTTTTGATTTCTGTTTTATTTCTGCTATTAAAAAAAAAAAAAAAAAATCATAAATGCCACTCATTATCATGTGCCCTGCCAACTGGCGTAGGCGCTCATGCGTTTCCACAGATCACGATCCCTGGTTGCCTGGAACAGCTCTCTTGATGATATCCCTCAATGTCATAGTTTCAGCCCATCCAGCATTATCTTTCTTGGTCCGCTTCTACCCCTTTTTCCACTGATCTTTCCAGTTGTTACAATGTTCTCCAATGTCTCTCTTCTTATTATGTGACCAAAAACCATGTTTGTCTCTTTGTTATTGTTGTATACAGAGATCTACTTTCATTAGCTTCTTTCAAGCAATCGTTGTTAGTTACTCTGGCCGTCCAATGTATTCGTAACAGAAACCACATCTCTCTTGCTTCCACTACCTACCTTCAAATGTGCTTTGCCTGAGAATGAGCAAAGAAAACACCTCTTGCTCATCACTCAAAGCCTGTTCTCCGCCAGCGCTGGCTCCCCCGCCTCCTGACAACAGCTTGGATGTGGCCACAGACGTGTTCAGTGCCGTCAAACTGGCTGGTGCCGGTAAGGGTTCAAAGCAGTGGACATTACGCTCTCCGGTATCAGCTCGTAAACTGATAACTCCGAATGTCTGTGTGGCCTCCTGATATGCAATACGCCTGTTATAAAAAAAATAAATTAGTCAAAATAATTTATGCTGTGTTCATCCCTACAAAAATAAACCATGTTTTTTGCTGGAAAATTTATTGTCTATCGTATTTTTTTAAAAACTTTATGCCGGTTACAGAATTTAGGTACTACAGCTTCGACAATTTGCGATCTTTTCGGCAATTTCCGTTACCCGGAAACCGTTCAGAACTTGTTCGGGAAATCTCGGCTGGTTTCCGGATGGGTCCAAATCTCATGAAAATTCGCAATTGGTGGGAATTTGGACCAGCTATAAATAGCTGGAAACAGCGTGGGGGAACCCGATTAACAGCGCATGTCTACGACAGCCAGACTCCTCTGTTTTTCTGTTAGTCATCAGTTTGATTGAAAATAGCGGTAAATTCGAGGTTGGCTTTAGGCCTTAAACATTACCAGATGTGGTAATGCTAGTTACAGTTAAATTCTCCGTCCAATTTTACATTTGCATAAATAAATTTCTTTCCCGTCTTTGGCTGTTTAGATTTACAGTGACATTTTTTAGGCAATCGCATGCGGCTGAGTCTCACTGCCTGCCATCTTGTCCAATGACAGTCCAATGTCAACAAAGCCGATACAGAACTGCGCAGTAGGTTGCGCAGTAAAAAACTTCTTGTTTCTGGGTCACAAGTTTTAGCGGCTGTTTCTTACATCTCATCTCCACAAAAACCTACATATCTCAGCTCAGAAATGACATACAAGCCTAAATGAGGTACCATTGGAAAGAGATTTTTTACAGCTAACTGTGCTGGTTTTATTGGTGTAGAGGGCATTTTAAAAATTTGACTGAAGTACCTACAGAATTATTGTCATTAAAAATTAAAGAGAAAATATCTATACAAGTTACAGAATTACTTCATAAATTTCTATAAGAAATAAAATACAGTAGTTGGATTAGTAATTTACTTTTCATTATATGGAAGTTGTTTTGTTAATTTTCTTTTCTATTATGTGGTAGATGCATTGTTATTTTATTCTCAAGCCAATGGAAGGCCGCCTGGTTACAGTGGAAGGCCGCCTGGTTACAGTGGAAGGGCGCTTGATTACAGCGAAAGGCTGCTTGGTTACAGTTTAAGGCCGCTTGCTTACAGTGGAAGGCCGCTTGGTTACAGTGAAAGGCCGCTTGGTTACAGTTTAAGGCCGCTTGGTTACAGTGAAAGGCCGCTTGGTTACAGTGGACGGCCGCTTGGTTACAGTGGAAGGCCTATCTCTGTTCATTTTCCAAAAAACCTGTATGACTTGGAGAAAACATTCAAACTACCCAAGACCTCTGGTTGACAGTGACTGCCTCCACCTGCACTCTTCAACTAGATGCTTTGGTATTATATGCCAGGCTTTTTGCTTAAAAAAAAAAAAAGACTATCAACTAATTATAAAAGAAAGTCTAACAATCAATATGGCATTGTCCATTATACCCACCTTGGTGATTCTCTCAGTGGAATTGTACGGATATGTAGCTTCTGAATCTCATCAATGGTTCCAATCATCAAAGTAGTGTCATTAGCTAGAGCCAAGCTGAAGAAGAAAACATAAGGGTTTCTCAAGCGGACAAAATCTGCTGTTTAAGTTTTAGGGTAAGAATAACAGTTGCAAAAGGTACACACTATCTCTGCCACTGCTGGTCCTAAGCCTGGTTGAGAAAAGAGGAAGGCTAGGCATGGGGCTAGCTCTCCCATTGTGTAAAATAAACTCTGCTATAGAAGTTTGCAGGATAGGTATGGACTGTAAGCCCAGGTGACATGTAATGGTACAACAGATGGATATAGCTACACAATGGCAAATAAATATAACAAGTGGTTTCCTAACTGATTCTACCAACAAGGTGTGAAATAGTACATATTTTTAGACCACAACATAAGGAAGTTCAATGACCAGTTCCAATCCTCATTCCTCAAAGATTTACTGGTGGCCGGGTTTTCTGTGTGGGTTCGCCCCATTTGGGGGAGGGAGGGGGAGAAAGGACCAGTCCCCTAACAAGCATGTCATAAAAGGTGACTAAGGGTTTAAAATCGGATTTATCTGGAGTCAATGATGCAGCAGGGAATATCTGCAGGCTTTGGGCTCCACTCGAGACCTTTGGGGAAGGTAAGACAAGTAATTAACCAGATGACAATGTGTACCATAAATATGGAGACTCTTCGCTGACTGTTGAGGAGGGCAACATAGCTGACATGGGCTTGTCCTGAATGCTTCGATCTGGAATCTTCATCCAGAAGAAACTAGAGAAATCAGAATTACTAGGCCGAAAGGTACAGATATTGCAGCCTAGCTGTAAACCAGTCTTTAAGACGGAAAAAAATAAGAGTTAAGTTCAGAAGTAAAGTAAAGGACCCTTTCCACCAGTGGCACATGGAGCATATGATGCCAGTCTCATATTTATACATGTCAATATCACTGTGTGAATTCTGGGGCCAGGAGAAAAGAACAACTCAAAAAGGCCAGATCTGCATGAAAAACTCTCTGGAACAAGACTAAAGTCCAAAAACTGATAACAACCAGAACTTTCCACCAGTTTACCAAAACTTTCCAGTTTATAGCGGGTAAATATGAAGAGGAATATTTATAAAATAATCAATAAATCCTTTCTCGAAAGCTGAAATATTTTGGTCATATCAAGCGCCACGGCGGATTGGAAAAAATTATAGCAGAAGGCATGGTACCAGGAAGGAGGGGCAGGGGCCGACCGACACGAAAATGGGCACAGGATATAAGTGACTCCTTAAGTGTGAAAGTTCATGAGGCAGGAGAACTGGCGAGAAACCGAGTGTCTTTCAGGCAGACTGTGATGAGAGCGATGTTCTGCAAAGAACCTGCTACATGATGGATCAATAAATATACAGTGACTTTACTGCCATTGCAAGAGTTCACTGTTTCCTACCTGTCAGGGTAGCCATCATAATTGAGTGGACACATGAGGTTCACCTCCTTCAAGTTGACATTAGAGAACACCAGCTAGAGTTCACTGAAAGAGTTCACTGTTCCTTACCTGTCAGGGTAGCCATCAGAATTGAGTGGACACATGAGGTTCACCTCCTTCAAGTTGACATTAGAGAACACCAGCTAGAGTTCACTGAAAGAGTTCACTGTTCCTTACCTGTCAGGGTAGCCATCAGAATTGAGTGGACACACATGAGGTTCACCTCCTTCAAGTTGACATTAGAGAACACCAGCTAGAGTTCACTGAAAGAGTTCACTGTTCCTTACCTGTCAGGGTAGCCATCAGAATTGAGTGGACACATGTGGTTGACCTCCTTCAAGTTGACATTAGAGAACATCAGCTAGAGTTCACTGAAAGAGTTCACTGTTCCTTACCTGTCAGGGTAGCCATCATAATTGAGTGGAAACATGAGGTTCACCTCCTTCAAGTTGACATTAGAGAACATCAGCTAGAGTTCACTGAAAGAGTTCACTGTTCCTTACCTGTCAGGGTAGCCATCATAATTGAGTGGAAACATGTGGTTGACCTCCTTCAAGTTGACATTAGAGAACATCAGCTAGAGTTCACTGAAAGAGTTCACTGTTCCTTACCTGTCAGGGTAGCCATCAGAATTGAGTGGGGACACACATGTGGTTTGACCTCCTTCAAGTTGACATTAGAGAACACCAGCTAGAGTTTGATTTCACTGAAAGAGTTCACTGTTCCTTACCTGTCAGGGTAGCCATCAGAATTGAGTGGACACATGTGGTTGACCTCCTTCAAGTTGACATTAGAGAACACCAGCTAGAGTTCACTGAAAGAGTTCACTGTTCCTTACCTGTCAGGGTAGCCATCATAATTGAGTGGAAACATGTGGTTGACCTCCTTCAAGTTGACATTAGAGAACACCAGATAGAGTTCACTGAAAGAGTTCACTGTTCTTTACCTGTCAGCTTAACCATCAGAATTGAGTGGAAACATGTGGTTCACCTCCTTCAAGTTGACATTAGAGAACACCAGCTAGAGTTCACTGAAAGAGTTCACTGTTCCTTACCTGTCAGGGTAGCCATCAGAATTGAGTGGACACATGTGGTTGACCTCCTTCAAGTTGACATTAGAGAACACCAGCTAGAGTTCACTGTTCCTTACCTGTCAGGGTAACCATCAGAATTGAGTGGAAACATGAGGTTAACCTCCTTCAAGTTGACATTAGAGAACACCAGCTAGAGTTCACTGTTCCTTACCTGTCAGGGTAGCCATCAGAATTGAGTGGACACATGTGGTTGACCTCCTTCAAGTTGACATTAGAGAACACCAGCTAGAGTTCACTGTTCCTTACCTGTCAGGGTAGCCATCAGAATTGAGTGGACACATGAGGTTCACCTCCTTCAAGTTGACATTAGAGAACACCAGCTAGAGTTCACTGAAAGAGTTCACTGTTCCTTACCTGTCAGGGTAACCATCAGAATTGAGTGGACACATGAGGTTCACCTCCTTCAAGTTGACATTAGAGAACACCAGCTAGAGTTCACTGTTCCTTACCTGTCAGGGTAGCCATCAGAAATTGAGTGGACACACATGTGGTTTGACCTCCTTCAAGTTGACATTAGAGAACACCAGCTAGAGTTCACTGAAAGAGTTCACTGTTCCTTACCTGTCAGGGTAGCCATCAGAATTGAGTGGACACATGTGGTTGACCTCCTTCAAGTTGACATTAGAGAACATCAGCTAGAGTTCACTGAAAGAGTTCACTGTTCCTTACCTGTCAGGGTAGCCATCAGAATTGAGTGGACACATGAGGTTGACCTCCTTCAAGTTGACATTAGAGAACATCAGCTAGAGTTCACTGAAAGAGTTCACTGTTCCTTACCTGTCAGGGTAACCATCAGAATTGAGTGGACACATGTGGTTGACCTCCTTCAAGTTGACATTGGAGAACACCAGCTTGTGGTTACTGCTGTATATGACCGTTGGCCTGTCTGAGCATGCAAAAACATTGGTAGTGGCAAGCGACTTGAATGTCTTCAGAATTGTTGGCTGTGTCCCGAGGGTTACCTTCTTCTTCTCAGATAAATAACCTGCAATATTAGACAAGGATAAGAAACAAAAGAATTAACAAATTCATTAACAAACATACAAGTATGTTATACATTCAAAGGTAATATGAGAGTTATCAAATTACTGTGTTACCCTATGCATTAGGCTGAAGTCTGACACAATTAAATACATAAAACATTAAGAGAAAAACAATATCAGTTTAGCCAGCAGTATTTTTTTTTATATATTTGTTGTTATGATGAACAAGGCACATGGTGATGATGTTTCAATCTTGAAGCCATGTTTAAAATGTTTTTTTTTTAAAATCTTTACTCACTGGGACTTCAAGCAAGAACCAGCAAGCACATCCCTACTGCAGCTACTCATGTTTTTTGTCTTCGTCTGCTGCGTTCATCTGAAGATGTAATAGTCTTTTGTGTCCATTTAAAACACGGCTGTAATATTTGCTCTTTTCCGGCTGACACACCTGACTTCCGCATTTGTTGGATCGCGTTAGCCTTCCCCGGTCAGTTTTGTGTGACACTGCAGTCTCATTGTTTTGTGGTCATCCTGTTTCCTAGGTCACATGTGGTGCCCTACATCAGGCAGGTCCAGAGAAGTCATGCAACGCTGGTCAGCCCTCAGGAAAAGGCAGGCGCAGAACTTAAGCATTCCCCACCATCTCAGGAGGCTTCTATAAATGCATAGCCAATATGTGGTGCTCTGATGTTGGGCTCACCCAAGGAATCATCTTGTCCTGCTCATGACTGAGTAATCTCACTTACCAAATCACGAACAATTTAACCAGTATTTAGCTTAATAATTCTATAAAAACCTGGCTATTTACTCTAATATTCTTTGGTATTTGTGCTGCTGCATCTGTGACAGTTATGCTCCCACACGTTCACTTTTTACTGAGTCTATTATTAGCTTTCGAATTGTCCAGCTAAATATTCCAGTACTTGAAAAGTTGAAAGAGTGGTTGGTGTGTTGTGGTTTACAGCAAGGCTGTGAAATCTGTGCCTTTTCGATCTAACACACCAAATTTCAGCACTGAATAGCCTTTTACAACCCGCTTTTTTTTTAGGGGCGGCGTGTATATTCTTTTCCCCTCCTAAAATAGTGCCCATGAATCCATGCTGAGGCATTTACATTTACTATGAGTTTCATTAAAGTTTATATACAAAATAATAATTTTTTACATTAATTATAGTGATAAAGAGATTGTTTTCAAGTTCTCAATTAATAAGAACAAAATGAAGATACACTACAAACAAGAGAAACATTCAACAACCTGTCACTGGGTCTAGCAGAAAGTAGAACAATGAGCCATCTCCCAGTGCACATAACAAGTAGTGAATGCCCTCAAACGCTGCCATCAAGATCGATCTGGGAATGATTTCTGAAACAAACAAAAATCTATATAAGCAGATGCACATTCAAGGATAAGAGCTGAGCACCTGAGAAGAAACAGACTAAACACTAATGTTGACAACAACGGTCCTGAAATCTCATGCTATAATTGTGGAAGACTTTTTCTAAATGCGGGCAAGTCTTGCTAGTCACACTGGTCATTCACCGTGGGCTGTGAATCCCACGCCCTCATAGCACGTTATAACACTATTCTCTGGAAAATGCGAAGGCGCCATGCACATCTTAATCAACAACGAAAGTAAAAAAAAAAAAAATCAAAAACAAGGATCATTTCACATCAGTGACACATCAGGCATAAGAAACTAGATTCATAATGGAACAGACCATTTAGCCCTCCATGGGTCCTTCTATTTTTTTTAAAATATTTTTGTTACTGTCTATGTGTTCTCCTATCTCTACCTCTTTCCTCTAGTGCAGCAGCTCTCAACCTGTGGGTCACGACCCCTTTGAGGGGTCAAACAACCCTTTTCTCAGGGGTCGCCTAAGACTATCGGAAAAACACATAATCACTGACCTTATGAAGAAGAAACGAAAATAATTTTCTGGTCACAGGTCACAACAACATAAGGAACTGTATTGAAGGGTCGTGCCATTAGGAAGGTTGAGAATCACTACTCTAGTGTATACTATTTTTATTTATTTCCTCTAGTGAAGGGCATATTCAACTAAGTTCGGTCAGGGGCTAACATTAAGAAAATGTGGATTCATGGGCCAGAGGCATAGAAAGATCATTTATACATTACAACTGGCAATGATCTGTGGGCCACTTGGTAGGCCTTCACAGGCCAGATTTGGCCCGCAGGCTGCCAGTTGAACAGCCCTGCTCTACTAACGGTTCCTCTGTTTTTATTTTTTTCCTTTAATGCATCCTCTTATCTCTACCTTCTTCCTCTAGTGTATCTTTTTTTCTCTCTCTTTCCTCTAATGCAGTGGCTCTCAACCTTCCTTATGCCACAACTCTTTAATACAGTTCCTCATGTTATGGTGATCCCCAACCATAAAATTATTTTTGTTGCAGCTTTATAACATCAGTGAATATGTGTTAACAGATGGTCTTAGGTGACTCCTGTAAAAGGGTTGTTTGACCCCCAAAGTGGTTGAGAATCACTGCTTTAATGTATCCTCTTATCTCTACCTCTTTCTTCTAGGGTATCCTATTTTTATTTATTTCCTCTAGTGTATTTTTAATTTTTTTTTTTTATTTCCTCTAATGCAGGGCAATTCAGCTGGCCTAATATATCCTATCTCGACTTCTTTCTTCTGCGTCTAAGAGTGCCAATCAAAACATGATCAAATGTCAAACCTAAGTATTTCAGTTATCTCTTCTTTCAACATTTATACCCTTCATGGATATGTTGGGCAAGTCTTCCTTTCCAATGCTTTTAAGTTATTCAAGAAGCACGACAAAACACGAGCCTTCTCAGGTTTTACCCTTTAACCTGTCTACTCACACCACTCCGTCATCTCAGGCAAAGCACTGTGTAAGTCTCTGGTCATGTCATGCCTGTCTGACCCAGTCTGATACATTCGGACATCATTCGCAAATGTCAAAATTTGCCCTGGTCCAGTGGGCTGAATTTTTGCCAGACTTGCTGTATACATGTTGAACAAGACAGGTGACAATCACGATCCCTAAGGAAGGCCAGGGCAAATGTGTAATGGATCAAATAGTAGTGGATGCAACACTCTATAATATGGAAAGAAAAAAATCAATTATTTACTGAACGGTCTTAAATTGTTGGCCACCACTCTATTTATAATTCTGATTCAGTGGCCCCAGGGTGACCCTGGCAATTTATTTCAGTGAAAGAACACTAAAAAATAATATAAACAAGCAGCCAAAACAAGACTTTTACCTCCTCCCAGCATTTCCACATGCAGACTTTCAAAGGTGGGCAGTTTCAGCAGTCTAGCAGAAATGTCGGTCCACAGACCTACAGCAAGCACATCTGACTTCTCTTTGTCTTCATGGAGTGGGGTGATGTCCAGACAGGCAACCTCATATTCCACTGTTGTATGGCTGAGTAGGAAATAATATCATAAAAGGTATATAACAACAATTGAATTCAAGACCCCCGTGAGGGTTCCAGGGCCCTATTATAGGGAAAACAAGAACAGACCCACTGCCTACCCAAAAGCTTGTCGTAAGAGTCGACTAATTGGGAGCTTCCTTCACAGTCGGAGTGCATCTGCCTGAGAGGTAAGGAACCAACAGTCTGCATACAAATGAGTCAGATCTGTAAAACGGATGCAGGCGCAACACTCAGGTTCTGGAACAGGACTGCAGTCCAAAAGTGGATGAAAAACCAGAACTTTCCGCCAGAGTTTACAGCTGGTGAACATGAAGAAGAAGAAGACGAATTCAAGACAATTGATGAAATAAAAGAAATGTCAGGACAACTGCTTGCACTGCCAATTATACGACAAAGAAGACAGCAATATAATGGGCACATCATGAGGAGAAAAAGACAATCACCAAACAGGTACTGAAATGGGAAACAAGTGGACTGGGGGGAAAACAAAGAAGTCCAAGAAAAGCCTTGAGAAAAATGTTGAGAAAGGTCAAAGGCACTGGACTGGATTCCCTCCATGACATGAAGACGAATGCAAGAAACAGAAGAGAACTGAGGACTAGACTGGCAAGCCCTCTTGTGACAGATCTTCTTCTTCATGTTCACCGACTGTTTACTCCAGCAACAAGTTCTGGTTGTTTGTCCGCCTCTGGACCTTAGTCTTGTTTAAGAATCTGAGTGTTGTGTGTAAATCTGACTTATTTGTATGCAGTTAATTCCTTGCCTCTAAGGCAGATGCACTCCTACTTCGAAGGAAGTCTCCAATAAGTCAACTTTGATGACAAGCTTCTTGAGAAGGCAGTGTGTCTATACCTGTTTTCCATACAATGGGGCCCAGGAACCCACACGGGGAATGCAGCATATAACCGCACAAAAGGATGTTGATGATGATTACATAATGAAACCAGGTTTTTCACAATTATGTCAATATCTATTTTTTAATGATCAATAAAGTGCAGACTGTTTAAGGCGATCTTGGATGTGGTAAATTTCATGCTTTAATTCTTCCATGGATAAGAGAAATTTTTGATAAAAAGAAGAACCATTTCTTTGGTTCCCGGTGAGTTCTCCTTATCAGGTCTGCAATGTAGAATAGCAATCTGCGGCTTAGAGCTTGTGACTGTATTTTAACATTTTATGATCCTCAAAGTACTAATAAGGTTCCATTTCTGCAGCGGTTTTATTTTAAAATCATTTTCATGGTTTTCAGGCGGTAGTAGAGAGTCACTCTAAGGAAGAGTACAGTGGGTGAACTGTAGTTAACTGTAGCCAACCTTTATTGTGCCATTTAGATGACTGATTTAAGAATCAACATCATAGCTTGAACATATACTTTTTTTTTTTAAATAGCACTCCAGGCAAAACGAGAGATTCTTCATACTTCATATTGTGTCAGTAAATGGGACAATGTGTAAAAGTAAAAAAGAAGAGAACACTTTTACACACCTTCAGGCACATTGGGCATATATGGTTAGATCTATATTTTAAAGACTAGTCGGCATTCGGTAGAGGATGTGGTCAACATCACTCCAACGGCTTTTACTTCCTAGGACTATCTGGTACTAATTTAAGGCTTGGTTGGCCTAGGAGCCAAGGTCCTTTTGGGGGAAAAGGTCCGGCTCTGCCAGGACATGAACCCGCGATCTTCGGATCTGCAGGCAAGCCTCTAGCCACTGCACCATGGCGACTCCCTCACAGAATGTAGATGCACTATACGTACCCTTCCATGCTAACATATCAGATCTGAAGACTGATTACTTACCTCTTCTGTGTCACTTTGCCATTTTCAATTTCAAAGTAGAAGAGCTCACTGCCGGCAGCAACAACAACCTGGCTGTTATTGCAGCAAGCCAAGCTGATGTTTTTTCCTTCAGGGTGAAACCATTCATCTGCTAAACCTCCAGGGACACAGGAGATGAGACGCACAGATGACTGTGTAATCTAATGGGAAAAGAATACTGACTCAGTACAAGAAGTGACAACCTTCAATGTTAAACATTCTCATTATACAACAATGTATCTGTAATCTGTAATGCCAGCTGTAATAAAAAGAACTCCACACGGGACAATGCACAGCAGGGGTCCACCGGTCATCAATAGAGATCCTTCGTCGACGACTGTTTCGGCCTATAGCTTCCCTAAACAATCTCAGAAGGTGGGCTGACCTGGGTCATGAAGCCAGGCCCTAATCTTCCCCTACTGCACTTAATCGGACTTGATAGGGGCAAGACGATATGGTGACTTTGTAAAGGTGCTGTGAGATTTGGTGTTATATTGTCATTGCGGCAGCAAATTAAATCAGCTGACTACCTTCACAACCAGAGCAGCTTATGGTGGTTCTTTGGACAATTGTTAGAATTTGGCCTTTGACAGAATGACACCAGCAGACATTTATCGGACACTTTAGCTTAGGATAAGTTATAACTGGCAATTATCTGTTACACTGGCTAGACCAGTGACCTCAAAATTTTTTAGGAGACGCCCTCCTTGGGAATAGGGTAAGGGACCCCCCCCCCCCCCCCCCACCTTCCCTCGTAATTTTCGTAATCTAATGGAAAGAGAATAATCAGTAAACTCAGTAAAAGAACTGACAAACTTCATGTTAAGCATTTTTATTATATAACAGCTTAGTTATTGGTTTGGTTGATGCCTTTCCATCATTCCAGATGACAGTGGTATTCTGTGCTGTTGTGGGGGGGGGGGGGTATGTAAATCACAGCACAAAGCCTGGGCAGTACTGGAGAGACTAAGCACTGTCCATGCAGTGTGATCCCCCTCTAGATGGGTTATAACTGGCCAGTACATGTTATAATAGCTAGACGCTTGCCTGCAGGCCCAAGGGTCTTTGATTCAAATCCTCACCGTGGGGGATTTGTTAATTGTAAATGACTAAACATCCAAAGGTAATCCATCCCATTTCTAGTATACGTCAGCCTTGCCTTTCCTGAGTTTCAGCCAGATCCACATGTTAACACCACCAACCCCCCCCCCTTTCCCTGCACTATTCTCTCCAAAACTATGACAAGCTATTTCTGCTTCAGCATCTTTAGCTCACTGATCAAGCTCTTAGGGTCACTGGTATAGCTCTTCAGGTGATTAGGATATGAGCTTATCAACCATTCGTCATCATCAAGTGCCTTGCCACCTGGGGTGGGCAATCATGCCCCTCCACAATCTGCATCTGCAATTGCTTGTATCAGTTCGTGCGCTGACAACAATCCATGCCATGATGAAAGACTGACAAGAATCTTTTCACGTTGTCTTTCTCTGTCTCTTTTTCCACCGATCTTTTCAGGTGATCACAACACATTCCATTTTCCCTCTTCTCATAACATGACCAAAAAGTGATGACTGTCTCTTTCTGATGTTTTTGATATTGTCTTTGAGCATTCGCCTCTTTCAAAACACCTGAGTTGCTCTTCTTAGCTGTCCAAGGAATTCTAAGGATTCTTCTGTAAAACCACATATCCGAGGCCTCAAGATAGTGTCTGGGTTGTTTATTAACTGTCCAAGCTTCACAGCCGTATGTTAAAACTGGCTCTATATTGTATGCGAGAATTCTTTTCCTAACCTCCAATGACATGGGTTTATTGCATACAATTTTCTTCAATTTGTAAAATGCAGCTTTGGCCTGTCCTATTCTATTCCTTATCTCTGTGATACATCCTTGTCTTTATGCTCTGATATGTTCCCAACCGGATGTTTCTCTTATTTACATTATCACTACCAAAATCACATACCTGCAATATCTGATTAAAAGCGACATTATTACAGAGAAATGTCTGGTTGGCACCATCAAATCCTGGTAATTCTGTTTCCTCCACTTCTTCTCCTGACAACTGGAGAACTCTGAATCAACAAAAAAGATTGCAATATTTTACTAGTTTCATTCATTACATAACTTGTGGTTTAGATTTATTACACACTTATACAGTCTAGTGGTTCAGGTTTATAACTAATAAAATCTAGTGTTTCAGGTTTATCATGTAACTTATACAATCTAGTGGTTCAGGTTTATCACATAACTTATACTATCTAGTGGTACAGGTTTATCTCATAACACGCAATTTAGTGGTTCAGGTTTATCACATAACTTATACAATCTATTGGTTCAGGTTTATCTCATAACCTATACAATTTATTGTTTATTACAAAATCTGGTGGTTCAGGTTTATCACATAACTTATACAATCTGGTGTTTCAGGTTATACAATCTATTGGTTCAGGTTTATCACATAGCTTACACAATCTAGTAGTTCAGGTTTATTACATAACTTATACGATCTAGTGTTTTAGGTTTATCACATAACTTATATGATCTAGTAGTTCAGGGTCGTAAAGCCGGAATGCCAGGTTCGATCCCAGCTACAGGCCATGCGCCTTGCATTGGTTTCGACAGTGGCATCAAGAAAGCCGACTGTCCAACAAAAACAATGACAAACTACTGGATGTAAATATGCCTAGAAAAACCACACAACAGCCAGGGGCTGTTAGGGTTGGTTCTGCAACGTCCTTTAAAGGATACGCAACTAACCTTATAGTTCAGGTTAATCACATAACTTATATGATTTAGTGGTTCTGGTTTACTAAATAACTTGAAAAATCTAGTGGTTTTATATCAAAGCTTTGCTGACACTATGTGTATGTTAAAAGTCTGCTTACACTAAGTGTATATCAATTCTGTGTTGACACTTAAGTTTATGCTTACACTAAATGTGATGAGTAATTTTCTCCCTCATGGTTCTTTTTCAATAACTATGCTGAATGGGTGGCTCTGAAATAGGTGGTGCAAAATTAAACATCCTAACCTGTACAGTCTGTGATGACAGCACTAGCCATGCGGCCCTTAATCCTCTTGGCTTACGACCCTTCCCCCACCCATCTACACCACCTTCAAAAGTGGTAAATATAGACAGCAGTGACAGCGTTCACCTCTTATAACACAGCCAAGATAAGAGAAATAAGATTAGAGTTGAGCTGAGTTGAGAACTGATATCATAGCACTCAGGAAATTCATATACACTCTGTCCTCATCTTCAGCAGCCAGCAAAGAGTTTGAATTCCGATGGCACTAGAAGCAAATTTTGTCTTCTTTTTCGGGCTCACTGCAACATTTTACAACATGCTAGTAGGGGAGGGGAGGGGGGTCGGGGGAGAACAGTGTAATTAACCCCACCCCTCCCCCCGGAAAGGGCCCTATAACCAACACTGGGATAGTAGCAGTCTTGCCACAAATCTGAGTGCAATGTGTAGGCCAGATCCCTCCTTAGTCACCCCACTACCACAGTGTTCTCTCCACAATTATCTGTTTGCTCTTCCGCTCTGTACACTTGCTCCCAAAAGGTATTAACCACATTTAGCATGTGATGCATCAGGTTACTAGTAAGTGAAAGAGCATCAATCAAAATCTTGTTACACATTCTAATATTTCCTCATTTACTGTGATGGTTTTAGCTGGCCTCTCCTTCAAATTTATAAGGGTTGTAAACAATAGTAGTCCGAGTATGTGGTTTAGGCGTTGCAAATGCACTTCATAATCCCTGTGTGCCTGGTTTAATTGCAGCTGTGAGAGATTTGACACCAGACCGCCTTGCCCTGGTTTCAACTTAACAGTGCTATCGAGAGCCAACCATTCAGAGGCAAAGGCAAACTATTTAACATAAAATTGCTTAACAAAATCAGAAATAGCCCACAAAAATGTTGCAAAGTTGGTTCTTCAAATACTTGCAACTCACTTTTTCTTTAAATATTAACAACTTGCATTTTCAGAAAAAAAGTCGGCTTACCTGCTCTGTCCAACAAACGACATGACCATCATGTTATCAAACTTCTCTGAATTCACTCGCAAAGGCCAGATTCCTGTTTTTCACACACAATAAACAATGCACAAATCATTCCATACAATAAAAATATTATTATTTCAAGAAGTCAATTTATTTTGAGAAAATAAACATCAGCTGCAATTGTTGACCTCTTTTTTTTCTTTTCTGTGTTTACCTTACAGACTGTTCAACAAAAATTAAAAGAAGAATGGCCATAGCATTGCAAAGATTGAACAGCCTTAAAAGTCTATGGTTAAGCACCAACAAAGAGATCAAAATTAGAATTTTGAGAGCATGCATCTTCCCTGTGGCTAAACATGGATGTGAGTCGTGGACTATCTCTCAGTCCTTAAGAAAGAGAATAGGGGCTTTTGAGCTGAAATGTTATAGAAAGATTCTCAGAATATCTTGGACAAAGAAGACGAGAAATATTGACATCTTTAAAGATCTGAACATCAAGGAAGATTGGCTAATAAACAGCAACCTTTCTCGGAAGCTGAAATATTTCGGTCATATCAAGCGCCACAACGGATTGGAAAAAAAATTATTTTCTTGGTGACTGTTACATCATTATCAGCTTATAATAAACTTCTGTTATCCCCTTGTCCAATGTAGCTATGTTAACAAAACCATTTATTTCTTGGTCAAAGGAAGGAAAGCAGTTAATTCCTTGTTTCATTTGTATTTAGTGATTATTCTCCTTCAAGGAAAAAAATTATTTTCTGGTATTTGTGAATTATAATAATTGACAAAAATTCAAAATCATAATTTTTAGCAACTTGATGGCTGAAGCAGTGGCCTTTATTTCTCTCGTCTGCTCGGTGATCTAGGGGTTCGACCCCCTGGACTTCTGAATTAAAAAAATTACCAAGACTCCAAATGTCTTCTGCTTTTGCTTCTCCTCCCCTATTTTCTTAGGGCAGTTTCTGAGAATTATTACAAAGATGTGTTTTTCGTGATGAAATATTGGGGGGGGGGGGGGGGGGGGGAAGAGAAGTCATTTTATATGACTCTTATGGACTGAAAGGGTAACCATTGATCTTCCCTAACGTTCCAACTTTATCCAGACCTTCTCATTTCGCAGAATTTTTCCGTTTCTGTGCTCCATAACAAGCTGACCTAACTCTGTAGTAATGCTCCTGCTGGGACACAGCAATATATAAAGTAAAGGATCATGTTCCACAACTTCAAACAAATTGGGCATAGAGGACTAGCCCGATATTTTATAGACCAATTGACACTTGGTGGTTGATGTGGTCATCATCATGCCAGCCACCTTTACTTCCCAGGACTGCAACTGCTACCCACACAAGGCTGGGTCGACCTAGGAGCCAAGGTTACGTCAGGACTCGAAACCCATGACCTAACAATCCACAGGTCAGCATCTAGCCGCTACACCACGGTGACTCCCACAGAAATATACACCTCACGCTAAATTGTGCAATGTAGTGTTTGTGTCCGCATTATTTAAATATAGTGCAACATAAAATCTTTATAAACCAATCAGCACTAGATGGGTGATGTGCCAGCTTCAGATTTTTAAATAATTAATGTTTAAACCTAAACTAACCTTTGACTCCTGGCAAGTCGATACTTGCATGTTCGTTGATGCCAATTCCATTTCTGATGATCCGCAAAGATCCTTCCTTCATTGCTCCTGAACAGGTCACCAGCTATTGTTTCACAAAGAAGAAATAAAAAGACATGACTATAAGATGCACTTGCACAGTTGAAACAAATGTAAGTAAAGGTCCCTTTTCCATGGCTTTCTTTAGGTATATAGGGCTAGACCTATATTTCTTTTGACAAATCGGCACATGATGGGTGATGTGGTCAGCATCACGCCAGCCACCTTTACTTCCCAGGACTGCACCCTGTAGCCACTCAAGGCTTGGTCGACCTGGGAGTCAAGGTCAGTTGACAGAAATGTGTGATATGTAAACTTATTTGATCGAATAGTTTTATATTCTACTTGAGAGGGAGAAGATTATAACACTAACACATAATATCATTCTGACACATCAGTCAGGATCTTTGTCATATGCAATGAAGGAGGGAACAAAGTACGTATGTAAGAGAGAGAGAGAGAGAGAGAGAGAGAGAGCGTGAGGGCAGTTGCTGAATAAGTATGACAAGGTTATTTAGATGTTTTTCTTACTGCAGCAAATAAATAAATCAAGGCATGTAAGAGATGAGTAAGAGTGAATAGGCTGACTGTGACAGAGAAAAACATGAGAGAAATGGAGACAGATAAAAACAGACAAATAAGTAGAAAGAGTTAATTTCAGCAAAACAAATTTTTCAGACATGCTTTATGTCAGGTAAATGTTACCACATAATAATGATAAAGGAGACGTCCTATCTGAAACATCGTAACACACAACTGTAAAGATGAAATTAGGTATAATTATGGTAAAGAGGATCAGAAAGTCGAAGGTTCGGGTCCTGGCAAAACCAACCTTTCTTAAAATAATGACCTTGGCTCCCAGGTCGACCCAGCCTTAAATGGTACCAGGTGCAGTCCTGGGAAGTAAAGGAGCCGGTGTGATGTTGTCCATATGCCAATTGGTCTATAAAATATAGGTCTAGTCCTATTTGCCCAATAAGCCTTAAGGCAAGAGGAAAGGAACTTGTTATGGTGAAGGCTGGCTAGTAGGGGGTAGACAGCGATAGAAATGGCAGTATGATATAAAGAGATGGAAGAACAGTAGTCTCGGAGAGTGTACAACTAGGACAAAAGACAGAGTGTGCTAGAGATCCATTGCAGCCAACCTTCATTGTGAAGATGGCACAACCTCTTTCGATCTTTCTGTTTCTTCGATCCTTCTGTCACAAAATGTATACCAGGAGGCCTGTAGCCTTGATGAAAGCTATTGTAAAGATCATATTTCCCCGAGTACCATACAGCTTTGTCTTCATTATCACTGTCCCCATTCAGAAAAATAAAGGAGACAAACGAGACAGTGAAATATACAGGAACATCTCCATCTTGAGCCATATTGGGGGGAAAAAAATACTATAATTTTAGAGCTCGACTGGTACTAGATCCCCAGTTAAGTGACAGTTTGGTTTCAGGAAGGGAAAGAGCTGTTCAATGCTGAACTGAAAATTGACAGCACAGCACTCTGGCCATTCCCATAAGTAACGGAATTTCTCTCTATTTTATCTTTGAGTTGTTATTCTCTCCTATAGGTTGGCCAGGAGTGGATGTTCTTTCTTCCACAGGTTTGGTTTTGTGTCTCTTACAACAAATGTAGGCAAGAATAATGCCACAGAGGCTGCCAGACAAAGATCAACATTATTGCTGTATAGTTCATAAGCATGTAATGGTTGCACAGGTCTTTCCAATGAATTAATTCTTACAGCCCTTGTAAGAGCTGCAGTTGAGTGGTTACACAGAGATATGTTTGCATCGCCAGAGGAAAGAGTTGTCCAGATGCAAATATTTTATTTAAGGCAGATATACGAGCAGTCTACTGAATACGATACAAGTGTATTACTTCCATTATTATCATTACTAAGTGCCTTGCCGACTGGCTTAGGCGATCATGCCTCTTCACAACTTGCAACCTCTAACATCATGTATCAGTTCAAATGCTAACACACCTCCATGTCATGATAAAAGGCTGTCAAAAATCTTTCCTTTTTTTTCTACAATTCTTTCCAGGTCATAATACATGTTCCAGTTTTCCTCTGCTTATAAGGTGACCAGATTTTACCTGGTGTCTTTGATATGTTGTCTTCAGGTTCTCCTCCATTTAAAATATCCGGGTTACTCGTTTTGCCTGTGCAAGGAGTTTTAAGCATTCTTCTGTCAAACTTTTGTGGCAATTCTTTACCATTTTTAGTTTATGGTAATTATTTTTGAGAGAACAACTTACAGCCAAAGTGAATCTTGCTGAAAGGGTTTAGAATTAGGGAAAGATATACCTGTCCTTGTCCCTGCTTTTCCAGATCCACAACAACCATGTCTACAATGGGTCCCAGGTTGACGAATGTTTCCATGACTTGAACATACGAGCCGTTAGGGTCCCGCTTAGAATTCAGCTGAAAAGAGATAAGTCAACACATTTTATACTCTGAAAATTTCAGTTTGCATATTCAAAGGATGAAAAAAAAAAAATGATTTTGATGACTTTGAAAATTCTGTGACTGTTTTATTACGAGGGGAAGCCATTAAGTAAAAAGGCAATTGCCTTTACAAGTCGCCAATTATATAAGTCATCCTCATGTCGAATGGCCAGCAACCATGTTTGCACCACCAACATTACCTCACTGTCATCTGCAAATCTCTGACCCGCAAATGTGTTCAATGGGTGCATACAGTGGATACACTACAGGCTCTGCAGTTTGAAGTATGGAAACATCCAGCATACAGCCCAGACCTGGCACCATAAGACTTTAATTTGTTTAGCCCATTGAAAGAACACTGCTGGTGTCTTGCCTCACAGAGGCACTCTGACCTTGGAGGAGCAATAAATAACAAATCACTTGGTTTTTATTTTGATGGGACACAGAATAATGTACTTGCCTTCACAAGCTGTGAATCTCCAAGGTGTGAGCCCAGAAAGACAACACCATTGTCTAAGTACAGAATCTTCTCTGGAATGGTTGTCTATTCAAAATAAGAAAAATCACATATAAATGCACAAAGCTATATTTTTAACCAACATTCCTGTACCTGATTAAAGAATACCTTCAATTTATCTATCTCAATAACCAGAAGGAAGATTCCTGAATGACTGTTTTTGAACAATATTACAGTGTGTTTGCTTCCTACCAGAATTTCAGTTCTTGAAACACCAAGCCGAAACCCAATAGTAATATTTTACAACATGCCTGTAGGGGGAGTAGGTCTATACTTTTTGCACCCAAAATGGGGCCCGGGACCCCAACAGAAAATTAACTGTATATAAGCTGCAATGAGAACTGAAGAATAATAATGACAGCAACAAAAGTGAAAGAGAAAAGGTTTAAAGATACATGAAGGAGGTGAAACAAATATTTCCAGGCATGAAAATAAATTGTTTCTGTCTGATTTTTCATAGTAATAAGTGTCTACTATACTTAGAAATAGAGAGTTATCAAAGATGCAGGTCTGATCGACACTGTTGACTCAGAGCTAAATGTAGAAATGTAACACTTTACCTATGGTGGGACAAGTCTTTGATGGAGTGGATGTTTTCATCAACAAAGGACTGAAATTTATGAAGTTGAAGGAGTGAATGTTTTCAGCAACAAAGTACAGGAGTTTATAGTGTTGATGGGGTGATATTTTAGCAGCAAAGGACAAGAATTTATAGAGTTGATGGGGTGATATTTTAGCCACAAAGGGCAGGAATTTATAGAGTTGATGGGGTGATATTTTAGCCACAAAGGGCAGGAATTTATAGAGTTGATGGGGTGATATTTTAGCCACAAAGGACAAGAATTTATAGAGTTGATGGGGTGATATTTTAGCCACAAAGGGCAGGAATTTTTGATGGGTGATGATTTTTTAGCACAAAGGGCAGGAATTTATAGAGTTGATGGGGTGATATTTTAGCCACAAAGGGCAGGAATTTATGGAGTTGATGGAGTGAATGTTTTCAGCAACAAAGGACAGGAATTTATGAAGGGGGCTGTAGCAGCCAGCAAAATATGGGTTTTGCTCCACTAGGATAAAGGCAGAATAGAAGTATCTAGTACATCTCAATTATAAAATCTGCCAGGCATTTTTTTTAAGTAAAGAAAGCAAAGGACCTTTTTCCACGCCATTAGGCTTATAGGGAATGTAGGGTTAGACCTATATTTTTATAGACCAGTCTGCACAAGACTGGTGATGTATTAGCATTCACCAGCTGTAAACTCTGGCAGAAAGTTCTAGATGTTTGTCCACTCATGGACCTTGGTCTTGATCCGGAACTAGAGATTTACAGATATGGCTGATATGTGTATGCAGACTGTTGGTTCCTTGCCTCTCAGGCAGATGCACTCTGACTTTGAAGGAAAACACCCTTAATTAGTTAACTCTTATGACATGCTTGGTAGGAGACAGTGGGTCTGTTTTCCAAAATGGAGCTCCGGATCACAACCCATAAAGACAGTAATGTGTTGGAAATATACTTACCACCCCTAAGGTTTCCACTTTGAGATCTTTGACAACAACGGTGCCGTCCATCCTTTCCTCTTTTTCCAGAATCAGCATGAGCAAGTCTCCTGCCAAATTGCCCAGTAGGTAGCGGGAGCCGTTTGCATCGACTTTACCGTAGCAGTTGATGCGATTCAGCTGTGGAGTGACATAAACATGTTCATAACTTTATTTGAGGGTACTTTTAACTGCCACTTGTGTGTGTGTGTGTGTGAGGTGTGAGAGAGAGAGAGAGAGAGAGAGAGAAGAGAGAGAGAGAGAGAGAGAAAGAGAGATAGAGAGAGAGAGAGAGAGAGAGAGAGAGAGAGAGAGAGAGAGAGAGATGGAAGAGGGGGGAGATATGAGAGACAAACAGACAAACAGAGACATACATATAGGAAGTGGGAGAAACCAAGAAGAGAAAAAGTTCAGACTAATTAAAAGTGAATATTTTATCACACAAAAAATTAACAATGAATAACCATGGACATCTGAGTGCGAAACAAGGAAGAAGACATGGATGCTTGAGTGATAAACAAGGACATTAACATGCAGGTCTAAGTGTGAAACAAGGAAAAAGACATGGACGTTTGAGCGATTAACAAGGAAATGAACATGCAGGTCTGAGTGAGGGGGGGGGGGGGGGGGGGGGGGGGGGGGGGGGGGGGGGGGGGGGGGGGGTCAGACATGGAGGTATAAAAGCAAATACAAACAAATTATGATGGAGGTCTGAGTGTGAACAAAAAAAAAGAAAAGAATACATGGAATATCTAACCGTAATCTGTGCTGGTGCTATGGCTATGTAGTTTTCTCCATTGTGATATGTGACTGACTCCTGTCCGATGATGACTGTTCCCCCAAAAGGCTCTGGAACTGGAAGTTTGAAGAAGACAAACAATATGTCAATAACACTAACCATTATCTGTAAAGTGACAGCCATTGTTATTCATGTATAGACCTACAGGTAATGATGGTTAAAGCAGAACCTCATAGTGCTCTGGGAAAATTCACAAATGCTCTATCTCCATCAGCAGAGAGACAAAAGTTTGAAGTTCAGTCCTTAAGTGTTGTGTAACTAGTTATTGTTTTGTTTTTTTCCCCAATCATTTTTGATCTTCGTTTATCCATGCATTAACAGGTTGTAAGCCTGACAAAAAGTTATGGTTGTTTGTCCACTTCTGTACTTTGGTTTTGATCCAAAACCTGAGCTTTGAGTGCAAATCCATTTCACAGATCAGGTTTATTTGTATGCAGACAGCTGCTTCTTCACCTCTCAGGCAGATGCACACTGACTTTGAAAGGAACACCCCTAATCAGTCACCTCCTACGACATGCTTGTTAGTGAGGCAGTGAGTCTATTCTTGGTACTCAAAAATAGAGCCCCAGAACCCACAAGCAAATTTTGGATTAAGGGCTCCATGAAATTATTACAATTACCACTGCCTGCCCCCCCCCCCCCCTCCCAAAGCATGTCGTAAGAGTCGACTAACTGGGAAGGTGGGGGGGGGGGGGCTTCCTTCATAGTCAAAGTGCATCTGCCTGATAGGCAAGGAACCAACAATCTGCTTAAGTCAGATCTGTAAAGTAGATGTGCATGCAAGTCAGGTTCTGAAACTAAAGTCCAGAGGTGGACAAACAACCAGAACTTTCTGCTGGAGTTTACAGCCTGTAAACAGGAAGATGACGAAAGGGTTCGAGACAGTTTCAGAAATGCCCTATCCTTCACTTCAGCAGCCAGCGCAGTTCCAATTCTGAGGGTGCAGTAACAGTCTCATCCTTATTACAGTTTAACCTTCTCTCTGGTGCTCAGTGTCGGCTAGATCCCCTGGTCGCTCTCTGAGTGCTCAGTGTTGGCTAGATCCCCTGGTCACTCCCTGAGTGCTCAGTGTTGGCTAGATCCCCTGGTCACTCCCTGAGTGCTCAGTGTTGGCTAGATCCCCTGGTCACTCCCTGAGTGCTCAGTGTTGGCTAGATCCCCTGGTCACTCTCTGAGTGCTCAGTGTTGGCTAGATCCCCTGGTCACTCTCTGAGTGCTCAGTGTCGGCTAGATCCCCTGGTCACTTCCTGAGTGTTCAGTGTCGGCTAGATGCCCTGGTCACTCTCTGCAGTACCATTCTCTCCAGACTGTGATGCTATGTAACTATCCCTACGAAACTGTTGAACACCATCTCTTTGAGTGCCCAGAACTCAGTGAGACAAGAAGAACGCTACTCCCTCCGAGACCAGACAAGTGGAACACCTTGTACGGAGGAAAAGAACAGCTTGTGAAAACATGCAAATTCCACTACATTGCATTGGGCCAAAGGGCGAAAGCTCATGCGCCGCTGGATCGATAACAACAACAACTCCAGACTGTGATGAGATATTTGTGCCTCCGCATTGTTTACTTGCTCCCAGTTGGCACTTGACCACATCTAGCTTGCTTGCATTAATGTACCACTAAGTGGTACAGAACCTAGCTAGTCCGTCTGCCTATTCATCTCTCAACACATCTGAATTTCACCTGGAATATTTAAAGAGATGTTTGATACTCTGCATCAATGATAAGTGAAGCAACAAAATGCACTAACCAATAAACTTGCCAGGACAAACCAGTATGTGAAAAGAAGATAACACAACTCACTTGGAATCAGCATCGAAGCCATTGTCTCCACATTGTCCTGTTTCCAAGGGCCTTTGATGAAATCTTTTTCTCTTTCCTTTAGAGACACTTCATACGTCTTGACATGGCGACCACTCTGGTCCTTTAATAAAATTAGATCAACAATACAATACAGACACCTCAGTTTATTTCAGAGCTAAACAAATGTACAAGTTGGTATTTTCTATCTGTTTAAAGAATTTAAAGGTGAGATGACTGGCCAGTGCATTACAGTTAATATGATATACTAATATAGGAATTAAAACTGGTTGCGTATCCTTTACAGGACATTGCACAACCAACCGCAGCATTTTTTTGCTTCTTGTGGTTTTTCTAGGCAAATTTTAAGTTGAGCAGACTGGCATTGCTTTCTGAGCGGTTGGCTCTCAGTACCTCTGTCGAAAACAACACAAGACTGTCTGCTGCCTAATCGCTTGCAGCTGGGACTGAACCCAGCACCGTGGCATTTCAAAACGCATTCACAGCGCCTAAGTCACAGTACTTGAGCTAATTCCAGCATTCTTAATTAATATTGAGTTGTCAATGTTTATTATTATCTGTTAAAAGATGTAGAATGAAAAGATGTAGGAAAGGAATGTTGTCATAAGAGCAGAAATGCAGGTACACCTGCATGCCCACTTCTAAACCCTTTCAGAATAAAGTTCATTCGTTTGCTTATTGTTAGATTTATTTGCAAACTGAATAAGAGGCTGAACTTACAACCTTCAGGAAACGAGACGAAAGCTCAACCACTTCATTAACTTCTACATGAGTGATATACAGAAGTAAATAGCTGGGGAGCCTTTGAGGCCTTTACATTCTATATGCATTTCTGTAACCTGCAGTGCTACTTCAATGATGGATACAAATTATGTCCATATTCCACAGCTGTTGCTTCAGATGCCTGACAGACCCGGCCAACAATGACAACTTAAGAGGTATTGAGAAGGTCATGAGTTGAAGTTCTCACAGCAAGACGCCATCGTCACTCGGAGGCCAGAGGTTCGAGGCCTGGTGTGGTACCTAAAGCTCTTGATTTTTAAGTTGCCTAAAGTGTCCTTCCACTCTACTTCTTTCTACGAGTACCAATCAATCAACATTAATATGTTTATCATTCATATGTGAGGCAACATCAATAAACAAATTGAAAATCAACAGTATCAATTTGGAATTACTGTAGGAAAGTGGTTGGCATGTTTGCTTTAGAAGAAAGTAGGCCAAGACAAATCCTCAACAGTAGCTGATATTCTTATATAGAAAGTTTAAAGATCGACTCAATATCAAAAATGGACTGCCCATGTGGGTCTGTGGACCACATGTGGGGGGGAATAAACCCACTGCCTCATAAAAAGGATGCAGTAGAAGCCGGCTAATTAGGGGTCTTTCATTTACATTTGCACTGCATCTGCCTGAGAGGTGAAAAACCAACAGTCTTTTTACAGTTAAGCCTGATCTATCAAATGGATGTGCATGCAACACTCTGGAAAAAGTTCTGGAACATAAGACTCATAAAGTCCATAAGTGGACAAACAACCAGAGCTTACAGCTGGTGAACATGAAGAAGAAGAAGCAGAAAAAAGAACAACACTGGGCACCATTTCTTATTTATACATTTTCCACAAAACTATCTGGGAATGGAAAAACAATGTAAAAAGGTACAGTTGTATGGAAAATAAAACCAAGTTGTTTTAATCGTCTTTTTTTTTTAAACATTCTCTCATTACAGTTGATTGTCTAAGCTACTTAGATATAGACATCTGACTTCCTAATTGTTTTACTGTCCCAGTTTCTGTGTTATAATAGCAACTCACCTGCCAACCTGAAGGTTTTGAGTTCAAATGTGCATCGAGATGGATTTTTTTTCAAAAACTGATCATGGCTTCCAGGTTGATCAAGTCTAAAATGGGTACCAAGTAATGTCCTGGGAAATTAAGGTGGTCGGCATGATGCTGATCCTATCACCACCCGAAGTCTGACTGGTCTATAAAATATCGCATGATATGTCCGATGCACCACAGGGGTAAGAAGGGTTCTTTATTTTACTTCAGTGCTAACTCATTCCGTCCCAAGCGACTCACCCCATGTTTGTTGAGCTCTCTAACATTATGTGCTGTTCTTAATCTTCTGTTCCCCATCCAGTAGTTACGTAAACTTACTCTGCCTTAACTGTTGCTTTATTTCCTCCTTTCTCATAGTGTTTTTATTTTGTCTGATTCGGGCTCAAACATGTATCAGTTAGAATAATAAAGTCTTAGGATATAATGCGATTAAGTAGTATACAGCTTGGAACTCAAAGAGTTAACTAAATAATATGAATAGGCACTTGAAAATGTCCCTGGCAAAAAAACATTTAAATAAATATACTGGCAACATGAGCGAGCATTAGCTAAATACATACGTAGTGAATCAACGCAACCGTTGGGTTCTGGCAACCGTACAAAAATGCCATGTCAATCACATTCAGCTCCTCCAGCCTGCAAATGTTCAACAATGAAAGACTGGTCAAATGTGGCCGGCAAATACACATCAGTATGTGGGTAATGGGCGTGTGTGTGTGAGAGATAGAGAGACTGTATGTGGGTAGTAGGCGTGATGCAAAGCAAATTTAATTATGAAAGAAATATTATTTATACAAATAATGGTGTGTGTGTGTGTGTGTGTGTGAGAGAGAGAGAGAGAGAGAATCTGTATGATTCAAAGCTTATGCCATTATGAAATAAATATATGCTACTTAAACAAATAAAAATGTGTGTATGTGTGTGAGAAAGAAAGAGGGGGAACGATGGGGTGGGTACAACAAATAAAGGAAAAAAACACAAGGATGGAATCACAAAGGAGTAAAGACAGAAAGAGAGAGAGAGACAGGCAGAGAGATAGAGAGATGGGGATTTTTAAAGTAAACTGGAGCGACAACCCTACAGACAGCAAAAACACTTATAAGAGCTATAAACAAAGAGACTTGGTTGAACAGATGGGCCATGGGAGATACTGGAAGGGAGGTTTATAGACACATGGCTGGTCCTGATCCTAATGACAGCATTAACCATCTAACAAGAAGGGACAAGGCCACCATCTTCAAACTTAGAACGCAACATACTCCACTCAATGGACATCTAAACAGAATACAGCCACAACACTCCCCAGTGTGCCAGCTATGTAACTACTCCTACGAAACTGTTGAACACCATCTCTTTGAGTGCCCAAAACTCAGCGAGACTAGAAGAATGCTACTCCCTCCGAGGTCAGACAAGTGGAACACCTTGTACGGAGGAAAAGAACAGCATGCAAATTCCACTACATAGCATTTAGCCAAAGCTCATGCGCCGCTGGATCGATAACAACAACAACAAAGTAAACTGGCACCCGGCTCACTAGTGTGGTTGGTTAAACCTGACTTCCCATGACCGGGTGATGAACTTCTTGTGATCCGGGTTCACACCCAAGGGTTGGCAGAAAAGCCTATTTCTCCCAGATTTACAGTATCTTTCATGGAATCAAGGCCAAAAGGTTAAGATATCCACAGTACCAAGCCAAGGGGTTTACAACTCATGGTTTCTGAATTTTTTTTTTTAAACATTAAACTGGAGAGCTGACTTGAAAGTTAAGAGCCAACATCACAGCACTCTGGCCTTGTCTCTGAGTGTAGTGTCGGCCAGGTCACCCTTTCACTCTCTGCTGCACTATTTACTCCATTCCATAAATGATCTATTCACAATTCCACATTGTTCACTTGCTGGCACTGGGCCTTGACCACACCTATCTTGTCACACATCAATTCACTTCCCAGTGCTGCAGCACCCGCCAATCTGTCTGCCTGTTTATTTCCTAGCCCACCTGAATATAGTCACCTTTCATGGCATGCTTGCTGGGGAACAGTAATTATTCTTTTTTTTTCTCCCAACAATGGGGTCCAAGGGGGAAAATAAATTTGAAAAACAGTGAAGAAAGATGAATGACTGAAAAACCGCTGATATCAATCAAAAGTCATATGACAATGAGAATGCCACAATTTTTGACACATTCTGAGAAGCAAGAAGAGAATCACCAAACAGGCACTTAAACAGGGAACAAATGATACGGAGGAAATGAGGACATTCATGAGAAACCATAAAACAAAAGTGTGATGAGGGCAGCCAAAGGTGCTCAACTGGACTCCAGCAATATCAATAGGACTGTAGAGGGTATAGATCGGAATGAAACAACAAATGGTAAGCCTTGAGTGACATATACTGGACACGAAAGGATGATGATGATTTTTCCTTAACACACAGGTGCATATTTGAAGTCACAATGCAGAACGGAAGTTGGTGGTTTTTTTGTTATTTCAAACAGATCCTTATTACAAAACAAAAAGGATAATGTATATTTTGAAACTCAGAACACAATACCTGATGCTGAATGCCTTAAGTTCTTTGTTTTCTTTCTCCAGCGGAATAATCTTGAACAGTCCATCGTACAAACGCAATCCAATGACTCGGCATTCGGGGTCAATAATTCCTATAATGCCTGTCTCTGATAACCTTCCAATGCGATCCTAAAGCATACAAATTTCATTCAATCAGCATGTGCTAATATAATGTTGAGTTACATTTACATGCAGAGTAACCAGCAACTGTGAAACCAACAACAAAATATATAACCTTGTTTCATCTGCCTTCTTTGCTCACCGATTGTAAGCTCTGGCCGAAAGTCCTAGTTGTTCCATCTGGATTCTGGATGTGCCAGGGCTTGAGTTCTGCGTGTACATCAGTTTTACTGGCTTATTTGTGTGCAGTTTGTTTCTTGCAGCTTGGGCAGACAGATGCACTCAAACTTCAAAGGAAGCCACCAATTAGTCAACTCCTTCAACATGCTTATTAAGGAGACAAACATTTTAACAACAATGTCTGATATAATTATTAATATCTAATGCCTACATGACAGCACTAATTCCAAAGTCACTAATTTTAGAACAATTTGTCAAATTATACAATTACAGAGTTCAAAGCTTTAAAAAAATATACATGACAAAATTACTAAGATCAATTGCCTTCCTGACAGCACTTATGTGGAAGTTGCTAATTTCAGAACATGTAAAATTAAATAATTACTGAGTTTAAAGCTTCAAAAAGGTACTTGACAACATTACTAATATTAACTGCCTACCTGACAGTACTTACGGTGGAATGCCTTTTATTTGTGCAGCAGTTGAGTCAAAATGACGGGCAGCCGATTTATGTGTGGGCTGGTGAAATACTTTATGTAATAATTTTACGTATGTATAGCCAACTTATCCTGGCTGACTACATCCATCAACGAAACTGCATTTCTGGTGGCGACAGTTGGCTTTAGCACCTCTAGTAACTACCTTATGCATTTACTGCATACGCATATATCTGGATTGTGCTGGGACTAATTGTTTGTTCACCAGTTTTTGTTTTTTCTAAATGGGACAGTGAGGGACATTTCATCTGATTTTCACAGGAACAAAGCAAGTATGCGGTCACCCCACTGCCTTGAAACTGAAACCACAACTAAGAGTAAGACTGAACACAAAACAATCTCAAGCATTACCTGAACATTTCCATGGGCTCTGGTTATGATCTCAATGTTCTCTCCATCCACCTGACACTCCAAAATCATAGCATTGTACCGATGTGTTAAGAGAAACATCAAATCTTTTGTCTCTCCCTGAAAAAAGTGTACACATCAGAATAATCATCCACTTTGTTCATAAGGTATTCATTCTTTAGAACTCAGGGCTCATCAAAAGAAGTAAGGAGACTTGGCCTTACCAATGTGGTGGATAACATAGCTGATATTTTCAGTTGGGCTCGCTTACATGTTTCTTTCTTGTGTGTGATGCATTGTTGTCCATGAGATGGCATCTGGATTCCTTCTAACTTGTTTGATTACACTTTTTGGTGGATAATGGTATGTGGCCAGAACGTGTTAAATATTTTTTTAGGAAGATTTATCGAAGGATGGAGGTTTGGATATTTCTTTCTCCATCCCTCCCCAGAAATCAGTTTCATAAAAATAAATTTTGGATTCACTCTTCATATTATTTCAATTCCCAATGTGGGTACTGTCGCCCCATTTGGTGTTGGGGGGGGGGGGGGGGGGGGGAATAAACATTCCATATGTTTACTATCTAATAAACCAGAGCTGGAAAACATTTTTTGGGGGCCAAGAACCATTTGGATATTTGCTACACCAACGTACTATTTTTTATCTATTTTCTCTCTCGTTTTTGACACATAAGGCATTCATCCTGGCCCTCCAGGTTGGGGGCTGAAACATTGGAATAACACCTCCCCCCCCCCATCCCAAAAAAACCAATTCATATCGTCATGAAACAAGATATCTAAGCTTTGATTTTGGATGGATTTATACGGACAACAAAATTGAAAAGTTAAAGGACTTTTAAGATTTGGATAATATCTAGAGAGACTGCAAACACTTGGTGTCACCAACTGGAAAGAGAAGGCCAACCAGAGAGATGTACAGAGGTGGGTGATATCTGCAGCAGTGAACCTCAAGGGCTCAGAATGCTGATGAAGAAGGCATTCCCATGTATCTCCACTGCTGCAGGTCTGCTGATTCTCTGCCTATGGTCTCCCATGCCATTTTGCATTCCTCCATTTCCCTTTCTACTGTCTTTCCACAGGTTTCCTTTGGTTGTCCATGTCTCCCTTCTTCCAAATGCCGTCCACTGCCGAGCTACTGTCAAAGTGTCACAAGGTATTCTTCAAACATGTCCAAGCCATCACTATCTTCTTCTTTTAATAACATTTGCCAGTGATGAACACTTTGTTTTCCGCCTTAGTTCTTCATTTGTGATCTTGTTAAGTCATAATATTTGTAGGATTCTCTTTCAACATTTACTCTCTAGTTTATGTGTAATTCCTGCTGGCATTTTCCAACACTCACAGATGAAAACTAAGCTTGCTATATTTTGTCAAATATTTCACTGCTGTCACCTTGCTGTAAAACCAAATATATTTTTTTTGGTTGGAAAAGGGGGGCTTATATAGCCCCCACAATGCTTGCCTGACCTCCAGGCTGACCCAGCCTAAAATGAGTACCAGGTAAAGTTCTGGGAAGTAAAGGCTTGATACTGACCCAATTACTCTTTGACCAATATTAAGTAATAGGTGTGTAGCATCATATGCACAGTACACCATTAGTAAGAAATGGATCTGTTCCTTTTTCTTTTTCACATATGGCCACACAGGATGGGCATTCATCACCCCTGCAGTTAACTAACATCATCAAAACATTCAGTTATCAGTAAACTTTGTAGCAAACAATAACTTGCAGAAAACCTACCTGTGGTCGAAACAGTTCAATGACCGCAATGCGGCCATATATCATAATCTCCTTTATTGGTCGAAGGCCTTCAGGAGTGACCACATAAATCTCTAATCGAGTATTTTTGGCAATAATCAAATTCAAATCAGTTGGCGATGTGAAGTTTCCTGAAATAAACATA